GGGAAAAGAGTATAGAATAAGAGGGGAGGGAGGGGGGGGGGGGCGAAAAAAGCTTGCAACTTAAGCTTGCAACTTGAGACTTGGAGCTTTTTGCTCCAAGTCCGATTTGTATGGTGCAACTGCAGTTGCAAGGTCAGATGCACACTTTGCGAGATTTATGAGCACGAGCCAAATAGATTGGAGCAATTCTTGCATCTTGACGTGCAACTTGGAGATGCAAGAATATTTTGGTGGTGCAACTTGGCTTGCATCTGCGAGCCAAACACACCCTAATTACCTAGTAGTGGAATGTCGCACGGCGGCGACTCTCGTCTACGTACTCTGTACATTTGGCGTCACATTCATCAGCTGCCCCTCTCCCCGTTGACTACCTGTATTCATACTACTCGGGACGGGCAATACCATGGCAAAGGGCTCAATCAACAACCGTTTCTCAGCCGGCACAAATATCATAAACATGAAGGGAACTTCGCTTGCTGTTTAGGCTGATGAAAACAAGCCGGGTCATCAATCATGGGGCTGTACTTGAGCAGGTTGGCTGTACCAAAACTGCATTGATACTAAAGCTATGTGCCTAAGACTGTGTTGGTGATCAGAGAAAAGAAGTATGGAGAAAATAAATGCAAGTCCTGACTCCTCCGCAGACCGCGAAATGGAAACAATAACCGATAAACAAGGCAAAGGGATAAAGCCATCCTATCAACCATCTGTGGGCACGCTCGAGGCTAATAGCCGCGTCCAGCCAGCCAGTCGTGCGCGCGAGCAAATCCATCCTGCGCTACGTACTGATGTTCCCAGCAATGCCCTGCGTTGGGAAGGCCATAGTACGTATAGTTGCTCGCTTGGGGGTAAAGAGCCTGCGTCTGCGCCAAAATACTCCATGAACCATTGCCGCAGTTTCCAGGCCCACCACCGATGAAGCCAAGCGAGCCACAGAAGACCACATCCTGCTGTCCAGTCATGACAAAAACAGATCCTTTGTAGCGACTGGCTGTAGGAATCAACGCTGAGGAAACAGCTTCTCCGAGGGTTAACGTGCCTCTGTTGAGGTAGTCTTGGTGGATGAATTCAGGATCATAGTTCGTTCCAGGAGGGCCATAGAAGAGCAGATATTCAACACCAGGCTCGGACGTCGGCAGAAGGTAGCCGACAGTCAGCGGGCCGTATGTGCTGGGTTGAACAAGTTGCGCCGGAAGGAGGCCAGCTGTGAGCGTGAAACCTGGTATGACGTTGATCCACGTTTTGCTGAAGCCAGTGAGGATAGTGGCATCGACATCGCTGGGGTATTGGACATTAAGAACATTCGCCATCAAAGATCCCATGCTGCAACCGACTGAGAGAAGTCCGAAGTTAGCATTGCCACGAATAGAAGAATCTGGGATTGGCAGGAATGTGATGGAAGATGATCATGCATCGACGCTCCGAAACCACACCAATGTGAGGGCTACTGAAGTATTAATGAAGTACTTACCATGGATGATCTTATCGAAGGCTCGTGGGAATGGAGAGCCACCTGCAGGGCCAGCTCGGATGAGCTGGATCATTTCGTGCACAGTCGCTGCCTGAGCTGGCATTTGGACTATGGTGACTCCATCAGGACGACTCGAGTTTCCATTACCTAGGCGATCGTATGCGAATGTAGGATAGCCTTGTTTGGAGGCATACGCAACCCAACTATACCGGTCGCCATCGTATGCAGGTGACCACTGCTAGAGTCAACCACTATACTGCGAGAAAGAGACAAGGACAGAAACACTGCCCTCCCTCAAATAGTCTTGTGAGTGATGAAGACTTACATAGTTGCGGTCGTACGTAGCAGGATGCGCGAGCAGCTGCAAGGTGTTGCTTCGAGAAGGGATGTTGACCTCAGGTTCACAGTATGTACCTCGGATGTCGTACGTCCCAAGAACTGTTAGGCCGAAGAAGAGGCCAACGACGCTTGATAGCAGGCCGACCTGTGAGCCCAAGTCGATGGTAGGACTGATGATCTGGAGAAGACTTCTGTCAGCATTGTTGTCGCTGCCCGACCGTTTCAATGATATTATGGAACAGGGCGGGTTCTTACAGAATTGTCGCAAGTAATAGTAACAGGAACAACGATCTCACGGCAGACAGGACCCCTCTTTTCCAAGGGAGAAGAGGTCGAGAGGGTGATGCTGAGCAGGACGATGGTCGAAGCCTGGAGGAAGTTGACGGGGTGGAGCTTCATGTTGTGTAGCAAGGGAATTGTTTTTGTTGTTGTACGATAGCAATCGTTGTCTGTATGAAGAGAGGTGTCTGTATACAGATCCAAAAGTGTGCAGTGGTTTCAAGTTTGAAGAGAGAAGAAGAGATGAGCGCGGTGGAAAGGAATCTATATAATATTCTTGAAGGCATCTGTTGCTCCTTCCTTCCCTCTCCCATTCCATTCCATCCATGGTCGCTGCCGCGACTGGCGATTGCATTATTTCCCTCATCTGATAAGGTTCCAAGAGATGGACAGTGATACATGTGAGATGCGTGGAAGTCTCGTTGTTGGTGTAGTTTTCGAGCTGATTTCCAATCGGATCTTGGAGGGTGGAAACTTGAAAGCATCGACGTCTCGGTGCCTCTGCCACCACCAGAACACGCTGATCCTCGAATACAGACCATATGACCTGAGATATCTCAGCGTCAAGTGGCAATCAAGAGTGCGAAGATGCTTCCTCGAGCTGATGGAGGACTCGATACTGACTTTTCGTGTATCCTTCGACGATGTCATGTAACTCAAGTGGCAGCTCCCAAAACAACCTTGCTGGAGATAAAAATCCAAAGACCTGGTTGGTGGGCCAGGTGGTCAAACCCAGCAGGAACAAGCATAAATAAACAGCAAATGTGGCCTACCATTCATTCGGGTCGAGTCCAGGCCGAGACGTGTACGACCTTGCAAGTCATGGTAGTGGATTCGGCCCGTCAACGAGTTGACGTACGCCAGGAAACACTTCATTGGATGCGGGGATTTCCGAAGATTTGGAACTCTTGCCCTTGTATCTTCTGTCGAAAGCAGATCTGGAATCTGAATGGTATTTCGCAGCCTATAGCAGGGGCGCGAATTTTTAGCAATATACGCGACGTCCGATCGACATAAATCTCGCCAATCGTTTACAGAAACCGTGGTATTCCCTTGCCTGAGTCTTGCATGAGTAGGAGATCTGGCATGGAATGGGATAGCGTTGATGTTTGCGCGTGAAAGATAGACTTGACTGAGTCCAATCTCGGAAAATGACCGCGAAGATTTCTCGCCATGATTTTGGTATCAAAATAACCGAGAACAAGGTAGCTCAGGTAAACACAGAACAAAAACCAACACTATGGCTCGGATGAAGGTCCCTGGGTAATGTGAGGCTAAGAAAAGAGAGCAATTCAACACACAAAGAGAACTATCCAAATCAGGAGTATCATAATATAACAGTGCTTGCAAGAAAAAAAAAAAAGATCAAGATCCAGCGCTGGAATACGACACGTCTGTATCTCGCAACTCTACTAGACGATGCTCGTCTCCACTTGGGAGCAGCAACCTGATCCCCGAACGGCGTTGGTGTCCAGATGTAGCGTCCAAACACCATGATGCCGTATTCTCGTAACCTCAGGCTGGCTGCATGCACCCTTTTGAGGTTCTTCCCAGTAACGAAGCCATTGAATACGGCTTCTCCATGAGCGGAAATCTCAAGGTGCCGAAAGATGGATTAGCACCGCGATGTAAAAGTAGTAGTGCCACTATGGACGTATCTCCGCGGAGCGCACCAATTATCTATTTGCGATAAGATGCCATCATGCGACCAAGTGACCAGGAAAACGAACAAGCACTCTTGCCAGGCCACCCCCTGCGCGAACAGACAGCTCGCTTACTCCGTAGGATTGTTGACGACTTCCGTATTACTTCACTTAGAGTTACCGCCATTTCTCCATGTGCTTCATGCTCGCATGCTTCTGCTTCTGTCAACGTACAGGTGACACGTAGCACAACAGAAGTTAGAACAGAGCTACTACTGTAGGTAGGGCTGTGTGACCTCCTGTCTCGGATGGCTAAGACCCGACAAGTATCCAGCCGCCCATGGGATCCCTCCTCTGCGAATAGCGAGACCGACTTGTGAACTTTCACTTTTACTACTACCTTTCTTCACCAACCCCTCTTGCCCAGAAGTACTACTATAAGATATAAAATATTTATGGGGTAGTGGGGGGGGGGGGGGGGAGGGAACGGATACCAAGCGGATCAGCAGAGATATACAACTTTAATAAACTGGTTGCGCGTTGCGAGTGGGTTTCCCGCCCTACGAAAGCATATCGTAAAGAAATAAGGGGATGGGCGAAAACGAATACGGCTATCATGCGGTGTGTGAGAATTAAAACATACTACGTACGTACAACGTACATAAGGTCAGCGTTTATCAGAAGCTCATGGAGGATGCTTTGAATGGTTGCATGTTCTCTTACTTTTGCTAGCACATCGGAATCACTACTGCACGGTCGGGGTACTTAGTACATACCTACAGCCAGCCACCAAACTGGCATCTATAAATCTCTCCAGAAAACCATCTAACCACAACCATTGTTCCCTCTCCTTCTTTCACATATCATACATACCATACACATCATAACAAGGCAAAAGCCGATCGAGACCAGAGCCGAGAACGACCGACCGGAAAACATGACCATGACTCCCAACCTCGACTTCCAGAACGTGAGTCTGGCACTCTGCCTTACCGTCTGCGCGACTCTCTCGTATTTCACCGTCAAGTCTCCGAACCCGCCCCCCAAGAATCCCTACCCCAAAGACCGGCTCGCGAAGAAGATGGCCACCGTGCACTGGCGCCGCTACGCCCTGATGTCGCTGTGGTGCTACCACATCCTCCTGACCCTCTTCCCCGAGAACCGCTCCAGCTTCTGCCTCAACCCCGACCTCCTGAACAAGGACCTGTTCACCTGGAGCTCGTACACCGTCGTGTTCGTAATCGCCGTGCTGGTCGCGGCCCCGATCCGCCTCCTGTGCTTTGCCCAGCTGGGGGAGAACTTCACGTTTGAGCTCGCCAAGCCGAAGAAGCTCATACAGACGGGCTTTTACCGATACGTGCAGCACCCTTCGTACCCGCCACTGCTCGTGATCCTGACGGCGATATTCGTCGTCGTGCAGAGGCCCGATGCGGCCCCGGCTTGTTTCATGCCGTCGGCCCTCGTTCGAATGAAAGGGGTGACTGCCGTTGCCGGGTTCTTCATGGTGGGATTGGAATACTACAGTCTGGCGCAGAGAGTTCAGGATGAGGAGGAGATGTTGCGACAGGAGTTTGGGAAAGAGTGGGAGGCTTACAGTCGTAAAACCAAAAGATTCATTCCCGGGATCTGGTAGTGGGTGGTGAAGCCGGTGGGGGTGGCTCGGGGTAGATAGGCGGTCGCGATCTGTACGACTCCAAAATATGAGAGGTAGTAGACGGTCCATCGTCTAGATCTTCAACCCGAACTTCAAGATAATCGTCGTTGAAGCAATGTGGAAAGGATACGTGGGTTACCGTATCAAAAGCACAAAGTTTGCTGCATAGCATGTCATTAACAGAGTGAGGTATCCGAAACGCAGAGCAGAAGAATTCCTTCCTGGGTATACCAATGCATACATCAAACAAACCTCCGCGCCATATATTTCTTTGTTTTTTTGCACTCCACTTCCCCCTCCCCAGCCATGCCAATTGCCACCAGAGATGTAGAAATACAGCAATGAAATCAATGTACAGCCAGTCATGCACACATAAACCCATATTATATCGTATCACATCTGGCCTCCAATTAAGGAGATGCAATTGTTCAGCAGATTCGCTGCCTCTTGAAGTAATTCCCACCTCGTTTTCTCAAACACAGCGCGGAGAACCATCAGCATGCCGCTGCAGCCGTTGAACCCCCTGATGGACTTCAGCTCTTCTGGCGAGCGGACGCTGCTGAGTCTGCGGAGGTATGAGCGCATGTCACGGACTTGCTCCTCGAAGTCGTAGATCGCGGGCATAGGAGCCGTTGTAGGGCCCTCAAGGGCGAAGCCGTAAGACCAGACGATCAGAGCGGCAAAGTACATCACCCAAGGTCGGTTCAGCAACACATCGTCCCGCGCGGAATAGTTGAATGGTGGATCGCTGAAGCCAGCCCGATTGCTCGTCGACGACGATTCCTCGGGAAGGAGAACGGTGCAGAGGAATCGCAGAGCATACCATGTGGCGTCCCGGGCTTTGGCGGACGGAGCCCATGTATCCTTCATTCTGCGTTGGGCATTGTTTAGATCCTGGGAGCCGATCGTGCGGCCAAGAAGCCGCTTTGCTCTGGCAAATATCTGACATTCGACTATGTCAACATGCATTGCCATGTGAGCTAAATGGTGTAGGACAATTCTGCCCTGAAATACTATATTGTCTTCTTTCCTGTCCAAATACGGCCCAGGAATCTTGTCTGAAGTCCGAGTCAAGGACCTGTCAAAGTCTTGCATCCAGAGGTCGAAAGCTCTGGTGAGAGATCCTCTCCATTTATCTCTTCCTCCAAGAGCTTGTGAAACTCCGAGAGAATTCACCTGGAGATCTCGTTGGTTCATATGCCAGCTCACACTGAGAAGACCAGCCATAAGAATTGTTCTTCCAAATGAGTTGGTGCGCACCTCTTGCGCGTTGAGGGTACGCTTGAGGCCTTCCAAGAAAGATATTGGCTTCACCCCATTAGCATGAAGATTGGCCTCAATTCTACCGACCTCGGCACTATTTGTAGCGGACCAAAGAGTTTCATCACAAGGAAGAGGAAGTCTCATTTCGTGAGCGACCATGACTGTAGAATGACCGAACATGGTTGCATGAGTCGAATCGATCACAAATGCAGCGAATGCAGCTCTACGCGTTGCCTCATTCGTGATCCAGTGGTTCCACCATTCGTCGGGAGTATTAACTCCTGATGTGGAGGACTGGCGGGAGCTGTGTGGTCCTTGCTTGTCATCCCGGACACTAGGGGGAGAATCGAGAGCAGACCTGCCAATGAGTGAACTTCCGCGGCGCATTAAAGTTATAGTAGTGGCATGATGAATGTGAGCTCTCTCGTGTGAGGCTCTTGTTGAGTACATTTTCTCATATAACTCCAGAAGGAGTAGAGCTTGAAAAACCCATAATTTCGCCGGAGGGCTGAAGTGATGGTCGTTGAAGATCTCCCCTCTGAGGTGCCAGGCTAGGAAATTCGAAAGCTCAGCACCTGCTTGGGTGACCTCGTAGCCATGGATCTTATCCAGACAAGAAGCCCCAATGGCCATCATAGCCACCAAAAGAAGATTCGGAGTCTTGTCTGGGGAGAAGGTGGGTTTGTGCACTGGTCTTTATCAGTAGTGGTATCAGGGGAATTTTTGAACAGATTGACTTACATATCGGAACTTGCTCGCTGAAATGGTACCAGTAGCTTCCTATATAGGTTTGCATCATTTTGCGACTCAGCAAGTGGCTGTGATTGCCACGATCACCCTCGAGCAGAGCCTCCTTCTGCCTGGCAACTGGCGCATGAGCCCCTTCGTTGAAGCGTTCCTTGATCAGGTCGACTATCTGCTGACTCTTCTCTTCGGAAAGCACTGTTTCCGGAAGGCTGGTATCGAGTAAGCTAGTAACAGCCATCGGATGGTGGGACTGCTGGCTCGCGGGGAAGAAACCGCCAAAGTTAATATCGTGGGGGGTGAAATGTGCGAAGTATTGATTTTGGTTATCCGCATAGCTGAGCATGATTAGCACCAAACCACGCTTCGACAAGACAAGATGATTACTAACTTCGCGTATCCTGGTTGACCCATCTGGCCAACCGGTGAGGAATTCTCCAACTGCTGACCACTAAAGAGATATGCAACAAAATCCTCCGGGATGGCAAAAGGGGAACGGTTGTAACCTTCACCACCAAAAACAGGCATCGTATTCGGAACAGCCATCTGATCTAGTAGCATCATATCTGGACCGGATTGTGCGTGGTGGGTAGCTTCACTCGAATAGTCGGTTGGCATGGAAGCGGTATATGATGGTTCCGACTCTTGACTAGGTGCAATGGCAGTGGGCGTTGTAGAAAATCCAGGAGGAGGCAATGTGAAAGGAGTGAAGTTTTGCTGGCTGACGTACGGTTGTGGACTGGGCTGGCTATTGTGGTAGGCGGGATTGCCAGAAGTAGAAGACAACAGCCCGTAAGGCCCTACGTTGTTCTGCAAAGGAGTTCTTGAGAATTGAACTGGCTTAGAATCAGAAACACCAAAGCTCGCGTGACGCTGAGGTCTGGCACCTGGAGTCATGCTTGGTGTCCCGTGTTGGGGCAGGCTATCGCCGTTCGAGCGTTTGAAATCCCGTCCTTGAAAAGTTTCTGTTCCGCTTGAGGAGGAAGCAGTGCCGGAATAAGTTCCAGAGGAAAGGACAGTTGCGGGGGAATAGGAGCTGGGGTTGGGCTCTTGTGGTGACTGGTGTTGAAGCTGGTTGGCTGGTGGTTTGATCCCAGCGAGATTCGGCCTCATGACTTCAGGCGATTTGGAGCCATGTTTTGAAAAAGGTTGTCCTGGTTCTGCCGTTGGCGAGGAAGTATGGTTATGGCCTAGCATAGAATCTTTTCGGTGTAGTTGGGAACCTTTAGCAGTGTGACGATCCCGGTGCCTGTTACATAAGTCTTGACGAACAAATGTACGGGAACAGTCAGGGAAGTCACAGTTGTAGATCTGCTTGGGCGTATGGTTTAGTTGATGACGATAACTATGCCGTGTTAGTGAAAGCGTATATACTCGATGAGTCCGGTCTACTAACAGATGCTCGGCTCTGGAGTAACTCTTTCCGCAGCCGTCCTGAGGACACTCGAACTTCTTGTCCAACCCCTTACGACTCCTACGGCGCTTTCTAGTTGGCCCTTCTGTTCCAGATGAGTGTTCGTCTACCCCTTCGCCCGGAGAAGCTTCCCTGTTGCCATCTTCGTCCTTGTCCTGACGACTTCTACCACGGCCACGATTCTTATCCCCCGGCACTGGCTTTGGCCTCCGTTGGAAAGAAGGGTCGTGAAGTGGAGGTCTGCCAGGCGTATCCATCTGATTCATGATGGTATTCGTTTTAAAATCAAGGGACTGTGCTGCCAGGACTGAAGTCATGTTCCCAGAATCGTTGTAGGTTTGCCGAGTAGCGAAGTTTTCTAAATGAATGGGATTTGATGCAGAACCACCTCTTGCGGCGCACTGGAGGGTGGATTGGGGTTACATCTATGAGGCTCGGCGAAGTCAGATAGATACAAACTGACTCTTTGGAGGAGTGGAGGGGTGGAGGGGTAGAAGGGCGAGCTTTGAGACGGCGGGAGACGCAGTGAGAAGAGCAAAGATGAGCACCGACTTACGCTATTTGGGGGGCAAGTTTTGACAAGTATATACAGACATCAGATGCGACCAACGCAAGTGATTGTAGGCGTCCTTGAATCCCCTAATCGACCGGATTATTGAATCGGTACTCGGTCATGCCGGAGAAATATCTCTATGCCAGCGCGATGTCCAGATGGAGGACGGGGTGCGGTCGGTCGTACAGCTGAACGCGAATCTGGAAGATGAATAGATGTGATGTGGTGCACTACGATACGATACGCAGAAAGCTCGAGTGCAAGCGCAGGCTGTTGGATTGGTAGGGTTTTCCTTGAAAGTTTGGAAAAACCCAAGACGGAACGGACAGAGCGTGGGGGAGGGGTGGTTTGTGGGCTTCTGACTTTCTTAGTTCCTGGTCCGGGCCGGGAGCGGGATCCAGCCTATTTATGGGGGGTAGCGTACCAGTCGATGAAGTTGTATGTGTACCTATGTATGCGTATATATATATATATATAAATATATGTATGTATGTATATGTCGTTGAGAGGTAGAGGTGGAGCTAGAGAGGGAGGGCGAGGGCGAGGGCGAGGAAGGACGAGGACGAGGACGAGGACGAGAGGCGAGGACGAGAGGCGAGGAGAGGTAATCGATCAATCGTGAGCCGGCCACCGCGCAATTACAGTAGAGTACCGGTAGGGAGGTACCAGTGGCACAAGAGACTGTCCTCGTGTTTACTTTCATAGTCTCTGACCGTTATGTGCATGCATGCATGTAGGCGTACATGTCATATCATCACTTTTCGCCTGGGCAGTCGACTGCACTTTGTACTTATTACAATTATCGACCAGCCAAAGGCACTTCGGGGCACATATAAATACCAGTAGCGCCTCTAGATTGTCTAGACATCGTTCTGTAGATGCCTTAGGAGACTCGGTCGCCACCTCTCGTAACCCCGTCCGCGTGGATGGTCAGGCAGAGCAGATAAGCTGTAACTTGTAACGACGACCTGGGCGTTGTGTGGAGAAGAACGTCTCGATTGCGTACCAAGATCCATGGCACCGTAGGGTCACCTACCGCTAGGTACACCCACCCTCCGAGATACATCATAAACACATCACAAAAGACCCTTGGCGCATGTACGCGAGTGGCGAGTCTCGAGTCTCGAGTCTCGAGTCTCGATGATGTGATGCTTCGGGCAGGAGGCTGATAGAGTACCCTACCGGTAGACAGACCGACGACCATGAAAGCAAGCGATATGTAGGTATTTGGATATTTGAATATTGAATTTTGAATATTGAATATTGAATATTGGGTCGTTGGTACCGGTACTGGACTGGACATACCGTACCGAACACAACACAGACATGGCCAAGGGGGGCTCGGTGATTCCGCACTCCGGTACGGATCAACCGGATCAACGTTCCTCCTGGAGTACAGTAAGTACCGGTACCTTTGGAGCTCGGCCCGACGGTGAAACGGCGCCCCAAAGCAAAAGCTACCTCCGGTAGGTACTCTCTACGCCGACTTACCCATTCATTCTCCCCGCCCCTCTTCGCCCTCTCTTCGCAAGCAAAGACAACGAAAACCAGCTTTCATTCGTTCTGCCATAGAAAGCGCATCCTGAACATCTAACCCTGAATTGGACTCTCGGAGCCCCAAAATCTGGCATGGCTCCTCCAAAATCAAAGCCGCAGCCCGACGATTCCAGGTCCGAAGCGTCGAGCACGAAGGAGAAGGCTGGCTCCCACTCTGCGAATGCGAATGGTAAAGGTCGACGCGTGGCAGGAAACGCAGCAGGAGGAAGTTCCTTGAAAGATGTCATCACTGCAGGAACCAGTGGCATAGGTGGAGGTGCCTCGGCGACAGCTGTGGCAGAGTCAAGTTCTGGTGTAAGTGGAGGCTAGCAAGCAGTCGCTGAAGCTCCGCTGAATAGTGTCTGCAGATCCAATGGTCGTCGTTCGACTCGTCCGTCCTTCATGGCTACCGATACGACTACCGTCTGAACACACCCGCAGCATTCAAAACATCCTACAACCAACTTGTCCTTGCTCGATCACCCATCGGCCGAATGTCGCCCACAATGGCCCGGAGGAAGGGGCAACGAAGGCAGAGCAAAGAACAGCTGGCGAACACTGTGAGGAAACACTTCAATGGCATGGGAATCGCGGAGAATGAAGTTGTGGTGGACTTCTTGTATAAGGTCCGATGGCAAGGTAAGATCCATAATAGCGCTATTTGCGAATAGCTTTTATGCAATTCAATAAGCTAACTTGACCCAGACAAGAATTTCCGCATGCGCTTTTCACCTCAGCGACCTCGATGACACTACTGTTGATGCTAGGTGGGTGGGCCATGGCGTATATCTGGTTTGGCGTTGCTGAGAATCCCCTCGAGGCTGAGTCGATGGATGGCGTAAAGTTTTGGCTAGGCGTTGGAATATTATCAGCCATTTCGAGGTGCATATCAGTATAAGATTCAAGTGAGATGGATAAGGCGACGCTTAGGCTAAAGGGACGAAGACGTGTTTGGGTGGATCTTGGAGCTAACATGGGAAGTTTGGATTGCCACAAGGCTGGGTCTACGTATTGGACAGCGAGGCTGACGGTTTTTTCTCGCGTTTCGTAATTGCAGTAACTGAAAGAATAGGTATTGCTGCTTTCAGCTGTACAGTAGAACTGTGAATGCATGTATCACCAACACTCCTCCCGCTTCGTACGAAGCTGATAAATGAATTTGTTGGTCTCGCGATCGCATATTGAGTCGTAGAGTAGGGTTTGAGGCAGGCTGAGAACATACTCCGTAGAAGATCGAAGCTTCTTGTCGCATCTGGATACGTCCGTGCACTGGCTTCCGCCAATCAGAACGAGGACTTTGCTGACTCGCCTTAAATAATAATAAAAAAAAAGTTGAAGCCTCAGACTGGTGGCCATCTGATGTGCACATCCATTCAGGACAGGCAGGTATAGATGATTGCAAGCTCCCATCTTGTACGCCAGATTGGACCTCAACTCGCTATTCGACGTCTGTTTCGATGAACGACTATAACACGACACGATGAACGTTGGGACTACACATATTCTGAGCAGGGCCGCCACGTCGAGTCGGGTCCTGTGTCCTGCCCATGCCTCTAGACAACACCACTTTATGAATGGAATCTCAAGGAAAGAGCGATCACGGGCATTGAGTTCTGCCACGTTAAATGCACCGCGGAGACCCAGCCCTGTCACAGCGAGACCTAGGGCTGTAGAGACTTCGCAGAAACGAGTAAGTACTTCCAGCGTATAAAGAGAGACGCTCTCTGACAAACACAGTCTTTCCATGCAAGCTCGAGTTTCCGAGCGGTCAAGAATCCTTACAGTGTACTTGGCGTCGACAAAGGAGCCTCAGCTAGCGATATCAAGAAGGCATACTATGGATTGGCTAAGAAATTCCACCCAGATACCAATAAGGACCCGACAGCAAAAGACAAATTTGCGGAGGCTCAAGCTTCGTACGAATTGCTGTCAGATCCCCAGAAGAGGGCTGCATACGATCAATTCGGAGCAGCTGCCTTTGACCAAGGTGGCAATCCTGCTGGACCCGGTGCCGATGGCGGTGGCCCATTTGGCGGTGGCCCATTTGGCGGTGGTGGTGCTGGGGGCTTTCCTGGTGGGTTTGGAGGAGGGTTTGGAGGAGCTGATTTCAATTTCGAGGACTTGTTCAAGGGTTTCACAGGTGGACGACGGACCCGAGGGAACCAAAATCCATTCCAGGAGGAGGTGCTCGTCGGCGAGTCCATAGAAGCGCAAGTGCAGATCTCATTCGCGGAGGCAGCCAAAGGAACTAGCAAAACGATCAACATACAGCCCATGGCAACTTGCAAGACATGCTCGGGAAACGGAATGAAGCCCGGAACGAAGCGAACGGAATGCCAGTCCTGCCGTGGCACTGGAACTCGGGTTCATTTCATGCAAGGCGGCTTCCAGATGGCTTCAACTTGTGGTGCTTGTGGCGGTCAAGGGGTGTCTATTCCAAAGGGAGGCGAGTGTAGGCCTTGTTCAGGAAGTGGAGTGGTGAGGGAGAGGAAGTCCATCCCAGTCGATATTCCTGGAGGCATTGAAGATGGGATGCGCCTTCGGCTCGACCGTCAAGGAGATGCGCCAGCCACTGGAAATGCCGTCAATCCAGATGCGAGGTCTATCCGCGGCGACTTATTCGTCCTCGTGAGAGTGGCTACAGATCCTAAGTACCGCCGCTCTGGCGCTGACATATTCTACACGGCAACGATCCCCCTCACCACCGGGGTCCTGGGTGGTGAAGTCAAGATTCCTACTCTAGATGGCGATGTAAAGGTCAAGGTGGCAACTGGAACTGCAACTGGGGATAAGATCACACTTAGTGGGAAGGGTATGAAGAAGCTCGATGGGAGAAGAGGGTTAGGAGATCTCAATGTCGAGTTCAAAGTCGCTATGCCGAAATACCTAAGCGCAAACCAGCGAACCATTGTCGAAATGCTTGCGGACGAGCTTGACGACAAAACGGCAAAGCGAATCATGAACGTCGGTCGGTCTAGGTGAGCGATTTCCAAGCACTTGGAGTTATATCTTTCCTAACTAAATGATCAGCCCTTCCGAGGATGACTCTAAACATGAAGGATTTCTGAAGTCCGTTTGGAACAAGTTAACGGACCACGGTAGCGAGGGAGGAGACTCAAAAAAGGATTCCTCAAAGAAGGACGAGAAGGACCCCAAGAAGTCAGCAGGGACAGGGGCTTAGCTTCAACTGTATACTAGAAGCAGGTGTGTGATACCTATGTGTGTGTTAGTATAGTATGTACTGCATCAGCGAATTTGGAGATCGCGGTAGGAGCGTGGCGTCTGTATACTAGAGATTGGGGGAGTTCATAGCACATACCCAGCATGTACATTTAGAAGCCCAATAGGAGGAAACTCCGCTCAAGAAAACAAGTGTTACTATATGAACATGGGGTATTTGCATGGTGCCTATAAGATACCAGACCCGAACCGCACCTCAAAGCGCTTCCTTGGCCAATGCATCGGTAGAGAGGGTAAGTGGTTTGTTTATACTTTAAATCCCCCTTCACACATGCATGCATCTCTTCATCGACGGCCCCGACGGCCCCCATGGCCACAGCCAGAGGGCTCGTACAAACTTGACGCGCATGCATAGGCATGGCCTTGTACTCCTCTATACAGAGTAGAGTAGATATCGACAAGGGCGGCCGGGCTTCACGGCAAAGAAGTTGAGTGGTAATCTAAGTGTGCCCTGATCACAATCCCCTTCTATATAAGTCCATAGTCCATAGTCCACAGTCCAGATGGAACAGGACACTGGAACAGGAATGACCACACCTAGTCGGCGCTAAGTCGCAGGGCTTTTAAGGGGCCATGTTGGCTGCAGGCTCCCGGTGCTCTGCTGCTTGACGTACATAATTACTTATTCGCTTCCGGAATAACCTCGACCTCTCCATACAGTACACAATCCTGCTCTTCAACAAACTCCATCTAATGTTTGGCCGCTTGAAAAACATTCACTGCTATCTCCCAATCCAATACCATGAATCTCATGCGTGAGCCTGGGCTAATGGATATCGCTACCCCAAGTTATTAAACGCTGTAGCGCAACACAACCCCTCCTCCGCACTGTTAGACGCATTAACACGACAGTCACCTCTCACCACCTACCACCATCTCCCCGGAACGCGGTTTCTAAAGAAGCTCAGGAGAAATACATCGCCGACAAAGGAAACAGACGGAGATCGATCGAAGAGTTTGCAGAGCGTGTGTTGAAGGAGGACAGGATGCAGGCACCCATGATTTCAGCGCCTCTGAAGGCGACCAACGAGATTGACTGGATACAACCTCTAAAGCAACACATACGCTCCTTCTATGGAGATGATCCAGAGCGGTATGCGGAAGAGTGCGCGACGCTGAATCGTTTGCGACAGGATATGCGTGGGGCGGGCAAAGACAGTGCTGCCGGGCGAGATTTGCTCTACAGATACTATGGGCAGCTGGAATTGTTGGACCTTCGCTTTCCCGTTGATGAAAATCACATCAAGATTTCCTTCACCTGGTAGGACTCCCCCTCTCCGAAAGGACTTGGAAAGTAACTAATGGCGCTTCTGAAGGTTCGACGCATTTACACACAAGCCCACCTCCCAATACTCCTTAGCATACGAAAAGGCCTCCATAATCTTCAACATATCGGCCGTGTTATCATGTCACGCAGCTAACCAGACTCGCTCCGAGGACTCTGGACTCAAAACTGCATACCACTCCTTCCAAGCTTCTGCGGGCATGTTCACGTATATCAACGAGAACTTCCTACACGCCCCGTCGACAGATCTAAGCAGAGATACCGTAAAGACGCTCATACAAATAATGTTAGCTCAAGGGCAGGAGGTTTTCTTGGAGAAGCAGATTGCTGATGGAAAGAAAGTCGGGCTTCTGGCGAAACTTGCAAGTCAGGCAGCCTACCTTTACGCTCAAGCAGTTGAGGGAACACAGGACAATGTCAACAAGGCCATTTTTGAGAAGGTGTGGCTCCTGGTTGTCCAGGTACGTTTCACGGATTTAGACCTTAGCGAAAGGACCTACCTCTCTTTCGGGATAGCCTTTCAGGCCGTGACACATCTCGAATATGCCATTTTTTTGGTCATCAAGTAGAAAAACTAACCAATGTTATAGATCAAGTCTAACTACATGGCGTCGCTAGCTCAATACTACCAAGCAATGGCCGACGATGACGCCAATTCCCACGGAACAGCCATCTCACGTCTTCAAGCAGCAGAGGTAGCAGCTAAAGAATCTAACAAACTCGCAAATAGCTTTCCAGGAAATGTACCTGCAAATTCGAACTTGACTTCGGAAACTGGGTCTACCTTGGTCGAAATCACCAAGCGCCAGCTTGCAAACGTCCAAGAAAAGCTGTCCGAGTTAGTCAAAGATAACGATTACATATACCACCAGACTGTACCTGCTGAAGCCGCACTCTCTGTAATTCCAAAGCTTCCAGCAGCAAAGGCGATACCTGTCAGTGAATTGTATGCTGGACAAGACATCCAACGCATCACTGGACCCGACATCTTCCAGAAGATCGTGCCCATGTCTGTTACCGAATCTGCAAGTTTGTACGATGAAGAGAAGGCAAAGCTGGTGCGGGCCGAGACAGAGCGGGTTGAGACGGCAAATAGCGAAATGGCTGCCAGTCTTGATTACCTGAGATTGCCCGGCGCCCTACAGGTACTCAAAGGTGGATTCGACCAAGAATTGACAGCCGACGACGAATTTAGAAGCTGGTGTGACGATGTGGCCAATAACGAGAGACCTGGGTCCACTTTTGAATTCTTACAGTCAAGTAAAGAAAGTATCTTGGCTGTCTTGGACAGGAGTACAAAACAGCTGGACATGGAGGAAAGTGTGTGTGAGAAGATGCGGTCGAAATACGAAGGAGACTGGACACAGCAACCGAGTTCCAGGCTGACCTCCACTCTGAAAAGCGATATCCGGAACTACAGAGACGCTCTGGAGGAAGCTGCTCGAAGCGACAGCCAGCTATACTCCAAGATGCGGCAGCACCAGGTGGACTTTGACGAGATGAGGTCAGCTGGTGAGATTGGTGAGGCAGATGTGCTGTTTCAAAAGGCTCTGATACAGGTTGGTGGCAGATCGAGGAATGTTGGCAGCCCCACTGGTGGAGAGGGCAATCTTCTTGATGCAGATTTTGGGGATCACGGAATGAGTGTTATGGACCAAATCATGAAGGTTGAGGAGATTCTGAAGAAGCTGAACCTGATCAAACGTGAGAGGGGACAAGTGTTAAAGGACTTAAAGGAGAAGGTAAGCGTGCGAAGGAAACCTTTCTGCTGGAAGCTAATAGGCACTCCAGATCCACAACGACGACATTTCTCAGGTTTTGATTCTGAACAAAAAGTCCATATCCAATTACGAAGCACAACTCTTCCAAGCAGAATTAGAAAAGTTCAGACCACATCAGAGCCGCCTTCTCTCGGCAAACCACAAACAGTCCTCTCTCATGAAAGAGCTCACATCAACTTTCAATACTCTACTTCAAGATAAGCGAGTCCGATCAGAACAAAGCAAGTATGAAAGTATCACCCGACAACGATCGTCCGTTATGTCGAAATACAAGCGAGTCTACCAGGAATTCTTGGATCTCGAAGCTGGACTCCAAGCAGCAAAGCAATGGTACAACGAGATGAAAGATACAGTGGATAGTCTGGACAAGAACGTGGAGACCTTCGTCAACAATCGCAGATCTGAGGGAGCGCAACTCCTGAGCCAAATCGAGCAAGAACGAAATCGTAGTGCCAGTGGCGAGGCAGATAGAGAGCGTGAGCGCCTTCGGGGACTCATGGAGAGAATGTCAATGGACCCTTCCACTTCCCCATCGACGAATAAACCAGTGCGAACCCAGTCGCTTGCTTATAATTCGACGTCGCCATCTACCAGATACCCTCAGACCAACTTTGCAGGCCAGTACCAGGTCCCGACATCACCACCTCCGCAATCAGCTCACCCCCAGTCAGCTCATCCATCATTTGGTGGAGCGCCACCAAACGCCTTTTACCCAAGCCAACATCAATCAAGGCCAGACCCCTACGCCCAAAAGGTTACACCACAGCCTCAGGACGGCTACAATCCAGGCATGTATCCACCAGTCTCACCTCCTCCAACCCAAACCACGTTCTCGCAAAGCCAGCAGAACTTTGGACGACCAATGCACCAGCCACAAGGTCAACCGCAATACCTTCCCCAAGGCTACGTTCCGCCGCCACCTCCCCGGGGTCCCCCACCTCTTGGCCCTCAACAGACATTCCAGCAACCTGGCGCGCCTTCTAACGGGGAGCATAACTACGGAAATCAACAACGTCCAAACTACTCTCAGCAACAGCAGAGTGGTGTTGATCCGTGGGCGGGGTTGAATGCATGGAAATAGGAAAAGAGAATAGAGAATGATCAAAGAACTATGGTCTCGGCAATAAATCCATGCATCGCTCGGAGCGATGCTGAGTTATCGACTGCTGCATTGTTTTGCAAGCGAGACTCACAATAGCACTAGTAGATCAATATTCGATTAATCTAGCAGAAGCTTACAGATGCTCGTAATTGACAGAAGCGTGACAATTGAGCAGGGATGAGACGACGAGTATCAGATACCTGATATCTGTTGGCTCAATTAAACAATGCAACACACTTTGAGATGAGAAAACGGAAGGGACTGGTCCATACACTTGAGCGTAGATATGGTAGACGACCTATCCATCAAAGAGAGGAGAGAATTTTGCTTCGAGGGAGGGGGGTGAATCTGTGTTTGTTGATTATCGGTTAAAATACGAAGTAGGGGCCGAGTTTGCGGGAGAAATTTGTGGCGCAAAGCTAGCGCCGGCAAAGTTCCCGGACCGGACAATGATGACTTGATTTGACGTACCTACATTGCCTCGATGTCTACCCACCACCGCCTCCGACATCTTTCAGCACTTTACGCGGCAACTCGAATCTTGAATACACTCTCGGAAGCCAGCAACCGTTTTACTTATTCCTCGCTGTAAAGAAACTCGTGTATAAAAAAATTATTTATTCGCTCGCCCCTTCGAAGTTATGCTATACGGCCAAAATTTACCATGGCGGCTTGCGCTCCGGAACACAGCACGGGGGGCTGCTAGACAGAGCTCGAGTCTCTCCAGCAGACTACATACTACATCTTATCGTTTTCGGATACTTGCTGTGACGTCCTCGTCTTTACAGTCTTCCCTTCCAGCTCAAGCGGTATGGGGGAGCTCGAGGTTCTCCACTTTACCTGCACGGAGGAAAGACGAGCCCAAATTTTCGAAGGACGCAGTAAAGGAGAATGTAGAGGAAAATACGAACGACAAAATCGAGTCGCCAAAGGAAGCCAGTGGCGACAGTGTAGCCGAGACGAAAAATAAAGCACCCGAACCGACTTCACAGGGTGGTAATTCGACTGGGGGCGCAGCAGATGGCAAGGCAAGCAGTGCTGGATCTGGAGGATCTGGTGACTCGGGGAGCGGAGATGGCGGAAAGAAAGGGCGGAAGCCCTCTGCTGAGAAGGCTTTACAGAAAGCTACGGTTCCGGACGTCTATCCGCAGGTTATGTGTCTCCCGATCTCGAAACGACCTCTGTTCCCAGGATTCTATAAGGCGATTACGGTTCGGGACCCCAATGTCGTTGCTGCGATACAGGAGATGATTAAGAGAGGACAACCTTACATTGGGGCATTTCTTTTCAAGGATGAGAATGCGGACGGGGATGTGATCGAGAATATAAATCAAGTGCATGACGTGGGGGTTTTTGCGCAGATTACCAGTGCATTCCCGGTGCATGGCGACGAAGGTGCGCTCACTGCGGTTTTCTACCCGCATAGAAGGATCAAGATGTCGGCACTTATTAGCAATGCGGATGGGGCCACGGCCGCGGAGGCTAAGAATAAGGAAGGGACTCCTCCAGATGCTCCAGTGATACCTGATGTCATTCCACCAACGTCAGCGAAGGAGGAGATATCGCCAGACAAGAAGGGTGATGTGGTGGCTAGTTTTGAGGAGAGTGCCGTGCAGCAGAAAGCCAATGATACACCCGCCGCTTACGACCCGACATCATTCTTGCGGAAATATCCTGTCAGCCTGGCCAAGGTGGAGAACCTCGCAGAAGAACCGTACGATACGAAAAGCCCTGTTATCCGAGCAATTACAAATGAAATCATCAATGTCTTCAAGGAGGTAGCGGGAATGAACTCCCTCTTCCGCGACCAAATTTCAAGCTTTTCCATGAGCCAGTCCGCAGGCAATGTGATGCAAGAGCCCGCTAAGCTCGCCGATTTTGCTGCTGCAGTATCAGCGGGCGAGGTTGCTGAGCTACAAGAAGTGCTGGAGACTCTGAATGTCGAAGACAGACTGCAGAAGGCGCTTGTTGTTCTGAAGAAGGAGCTTATGAACGCGCAGCTGCAGTCCAAGATCACCAAGGATGTCGAGAAATCGATTCAGAAGAGGCAGCGAGAATACTGGTTAATGGAGCAGATGAAGGGCATTCGGAGAGAACTTGGCATCGAATCTGATGGAAAGGATAAGCTTGTTGAGAAATTCAAGGAGAGAGGGCAAAAGCTTGCGATGCCAGAGCCAGTCAAGAAAGTCTTTGACGAGGAGCTGAACAAGCTAGCTCATCTGGAACCAGCCGCTTCGGAGTTTAATGTGACGAGAAACTACTTGGACTGGTTGACTCAGATCCCCTGGGGCCAGCGAAGTGCAGAAAACTTTGGAATAACCAATGCCATGACGGTTCTGGACGAGGATCATCACGGTCTGAAGGACGTCAAGGACCGCATTCTGGAGTTCATCGCGGTGGGAAAGCTGAGAGGAACTGTGGAAGGCAAGATCTTGTGTTTTGTCGGCCCTCCCGGAGTTGGAAAGACCAGTATTGGAAAGAGCATCGCCAGAGCTCTCAACAGGCAGTACTACAGATTCAGTGTGGGAGGTCTCACCGATGTTGCGGAGATCAAGGGTCATCGAAGGACCTACGTTGGTGCATTACCTGGACGAATCATCCAGGCTTTGAAGAAGTGCCAGTCTGAAAATCCATTGATTTTAATTGATGAGATTGATAAGATCGGGCGAGGCCACCAAGGCGACCCCGCATCCGCTTTATTGGAACTGCTCGACCCAGAACAGAACAACTCGTTCTTGGACCACTACCTGGATGTCCCTGTTGACCTGTCCAAAGTCCTTTTTGTTTGCACAGCTAACATGACCGATACGATCCCACGACCGCTGCTTGACCGAATGGAAATGATCGAATTATCTGGATATGTTGCCGATGAGAAGATGGCAATCGCTGAGCGATACCTGGGACCAGCTGCCAAAGAGCTTGCTGGATTGAAGGATGTCGACGTTAATCTAAGAAAAGACGCCATCGAAGAACTTATTAACAAGTACTGTCGGGAGTCTGGGGTTCGAAATCTCAAGAAGCAGATCGAGAAAGTATACCGCAAGTCAGCATTGAAGATCGTGCAAGACCTTGGCGAGAGCGCGTTTCCGGAAGATGAGGCTTTAACCGAGGAAGGAAAGGCAGCCCAAGAGGAGTCGAAGAAAGACGAGACCGATGTCAAGGCGACTTCGGAGAATGTCGAAAAGGAGACTACAGAAGTCCCTCGGGTCAGCCTTAAGGTTCCTGACTCTGTGCACGTAAACATCGACAGGCAAAACCTGAAGGACTACGTTGGTCCTCCGGTCTTCACCTCTGATCGATTGTACGACGTAACTCCGCCAGGGGTTGCTATGGGTCTTGCGTGGACACAGATGGGAGGGGCCGCTCTGTACGTTGAATCGATCCTGGAAAGTGCTCTCAGTCGAGATTCTCGCCCTGGACTTGCGGTGACTGGAAATCTCAAAGCTGTCATGAAGGAATCGACTTCCATCGCATACTCTTTTTCCAAGTCGGTATTAGCGAAGCAATTCCCCGATAACCGCTTCTTCGACAAGGCAAAGGTGCATCTTCACTGCCCCGAAGGTGCTGTTCAAAAGGATGGACCCTCGGCAGGCATCACAATGGCGACATCGTTGCTTTCGTTGGCTTTGAATCAGCCGCTGGATCCGACTATTGCCATGACCGGTGAACTGACTGTTACTGGAAAAGTTTTAAGAATTGGTGGTCTTCGCGAAAAGACTGTAGCTGCGCGTCGAGCTGGATCCAAAATGATCATCTTTCCAGCTGACAACATGTCTGATTGGCTAGAACTTCCAGAGGTAGGCAAGCATGCAACCTGCAAGTTAGGAAGACATACTGACAATCCAATCACTAGAACATCAAGGAAGGAATTGAGGGGCACCCAGCAAGCTGGTACTCGGACGTCTTTGGCCTCGTCTTCCCTAACCTCGATACCAAGAAAGCCAATAAGCTGTGGAAAGACCAGCTGTCAAAAAAGAAGAGCAGAGATGACGACAGCGAAGATGACGATTGATCGAACAGCTCACTATGTAGAAGAAGTAGAGAAAACAAGGTAAAACCTTGTTTGCGACTGTACAGTGGAGCGTTTTGAACCTGGGGGACGGAGGCAGGGGCGTTTGCATCGGCGTTGAGCGGGGGGCCTCGAATGACGGACGGCCCTCGGGACATTCTCTTCCTTCTCTCTCCTCCTTTCTTGCATCGAGGTCCATTGTCATGAGACGCCCGTCGAACTACATGTGTAGAGAAATGTAAATTAGGCAAAGCCAACTGTATCAGCCTGCCCTCGCTTGCATTCGCGTGACGGCTCTAAAAGAGCAGCTCTCTCCGTACCACTGTTGCGTACCACTACTTTATCGTACTTTGAAGACAGAACCCGCGGGCAGGACAGGCTAATCGCTTGGGCCGCCCTCCCCTCAACACCCGTCATGGGGGCTTGTTCATTAAAGGTGTCCGATTATTAATGTTGTCCAACGCTACGAATATCGCTCATACATCGGGCCGAAGCTGATTTAGCGCGTTCTTTCAACGCTCTTAATGTTAATGCGATACAGGAGGTAGCAAGCCCGACGGAACTATATCTTCAAATCTGGAATTTGTGCATCTTGAATGTCTAACTAATGATCTTGCAATGACTGAACCTGTGATCAATGGCGTGCCTACAAGGTACCTCCAAGGTGATTTCATCGAGGATTTCTTGTGAAATGGCGGCTGGAAGGTGAGGCTGAAGCAGAGAGGCTAGAGAAACATCAAATGGATCCGATATTGAAGTATACTCACCCTGATGACGGTGTACTCGAGTATCCTCCCTTGCCCATCAGGAGGTGTCGAGGGAAGGGCGGCCTAAGCGATTACCATGTATGATAGGATATGAAGGTCTTGTTGGTCTCGTTGGTCTCATCACGCGGAGAGATTGCAGTGTTGTGATGTGTACAAACTAGCTAGCTAGCCGAGGATTCTCTCAGTTCGGGGTTTTTTTTCTTTCTTTTCTTTTATATGTACTACTATATTTTTTGGGGGGGGCTTCCACTTAGTTATAATTGATTACCGAACATGAATTGAGTCGATCGATCAACCTCGTATCCGACCTGTTCAAGGCTGTAGATTCGAGGAGTCGAGTACCGGTAGTTTGTGCCCATCGCATCGTCTCCATTCGCTCTCTGCAGGCCGGTTACTCTATCACACCCGCGCACCTACGCCCCTCTTCGGATTCTCGTGTCACCGATCTCCCAAGCCAGCCCAACCCAACTCAACCCAACACAACCCAACCCAAGCCAGCTCAATCCAGCCCAATCTTCCAACGAAAAAGCAGAGAGAGGGCAAAAGTGAGGCGACGAAGCGACAAGTGCGAAAATGCCTTGGCTAGCTGTTGGCTCTGCGTGCGTTGTACAGTCAGTCCATCCGCCCGTCGATTCAATCATTCAGTCAGTCAGTCAAGTCAGTCAGTCAGTTAATCAGTCATACTTAATCAAGACAGTTCTCCAGGTGGCTATGTGGCTGAGCCTGCCTTTGCGCTTGTAACTTTCTTTCCTCATTTCTGCGACCCGACCCGAATCCCAACCTCTCGGCTCCAGCTCTACCAGCTCTACCTCAAGGCGTGCATATTCCTACTTCTCCACCCTCCGACCAGCCCTGGCTCACGTCCGCCTTACTGAAAGATTCGCCTTCCCATGCCATGCAATGATACACCCCAGAAAACACTCCGAAAGAGCCATTGCTCTCGAATATATCTCTTATAACTGACGGTTATCACCGCCCCCGCCCCCCCCAAGGATTCGAAGGGTAGCTGCATGATCCTTACTCGTACCGCCCCAACTCGGCGGCATCTCACTTCACCACGATTCATAACAAACAACAAACAACAAACAGATCCAGGTGGCAAGACGAGACCAGCCCCACGGTCGCCGTGAGCTCTCCCCGCAATTCAGATGCAGCTATGGTCGTTGTGGTTGTGATTATGGCTGAGAGAGCACCGAAGCTGACGATCCACCAGGTGAATTCCCGTCCAGGATCTCCCTGCCAGCACAATGGCACAAACGCAGAAGCCTCATGCGAGGACCCCGTCCAACGACCAGCGGACATCGTGGTCCTGGAGGAAGCTCTTTGGCAAGGACGACAGCTCCAATGCCAATAGTGCAGCTCCCCCCTTGACCCCGCCCCCAGAAGATGTGCAGCAGCGATCCGGCCTTGCTCGCAGGCTATCGAGGAAGGTTGTGCCGGGCCTGCCCCGACCTGGGACCTTCAAGAGACAGCAATCAGAGCTTCGAGATCGACTCGAACCAGATAAACCCAAACCGGACGGGCGACGGACGCTATCGGTAGACCGACGTCGAAATGCTTCTTTCCGGAACTCCTCCACGGCGGTGGCATCTCCTCCCCACAGGCTGAGTGCACCCGAGCTCCTCGATAACGGAGCAACAATCGACTCGGTGCTGGGGGAGTCCTCGCAGATGGTACTTGTACCTGCAAGTCACTTGGAAGTGAAGGGCGAAGAATATGTGGAGGTTTCGAAAGAGCCATCTTGTGTGGATGCACAATCAGTATCAACCGAGGCTTTCGATGAGATGATACTGGAGGAACTAGAGAAGAGATGGATTCTGAATCTGAGTATGCACTTCAGGGACAAGTCCCAGAGGGAGAAATTCTTTGTCACTTTTGCCGAACAGCCTACCCATTGGAGGCGTGTAACCATCTCCCTCGACTACAGGGAGGCGCCTGTGGGGTCCTTGGAGGAAGAACTGCAGCGAACGCACTACCAGAGAGACAAGAGTGCGCGGATTTACGAGGCGATTCGCGAGTCGCTGCCCGACATCCAGTTCTACGACACTGTCACAAATCTGAAGTTACAGACCGAGAATGAGAGACTGCACGTTCATGTGGTCGAGGACATCTCTGAAGTCATCTCATTTCCGCCAGTCAAGGCCATCAACCACCTCAACTGCAGGAGGGTGCGAGAAGATGCTATTGTTTTCGATTCCCATCTCTCGGGCTTCGTCTACAAAGTGAAGGTTGATGGCCAGGTATTCATCAAGAAAGAAATTCCAGGTCCTGACACTGTAGATGAGTTCCTCTATGAAATCAATGCTCTGCATCAGCTGTCAGGCTCGAAAAGCGTTATTCAGTTCGGAGGGGTTGTTCTCGATAACCGGGGCGAGTTTGTCAAAGGACTCCTGGTCAGTTTTGCTGAGCAGGGTGCTTTGATTGACGTGATTTATGACGGCGAGGGAAGAATTCCCTGGAGGCGTCGTGAGCGTTGGGCGAAACAGATCGTTCAAGGACTCTCGGAAATTCACGAGGCTGGCTTCGTCCAAGGCGACTTTACCCTGTCCAACATCGTCATTGACGCTGACGATAATGCAAAAATCATCGACATCAATAGGAGAGGTTGCCCAGTCGGATGGGAGCCCCCCGAAGTAACTGCGCTCCTCCAGAGTAGTCAGCGAATCTCGATGTATATTGGGGTCAAATCGGATCTGTATCAGTTAGGTATGGTTCTGTATGCCCTGGCCACGCAGCACGACGAGCCGGAGAACCATCGTCCACTGAATATATCTTGCTTCTCGCCCGAAGTTCCGGACTATTATCTGGACTTGTGCAGTCGCTGTTTAGCTGATGATCCGAGGTGTCGATCACAGGCTTCGATATTGCTCACGTTGATTCCAGAAGCAGGTGGGGGTCACTCTGAGCATGGCCGGTCAATTCCAATTGTGGCAGATGCATGCTACGATCCCGAGAAGAAGAGCCATGCAAATGGCCACAGACTGGTGAACCCTTTGACGCTCCATCCTCATTATACAGAAGCAGGTGATGTGGCAGGACCGGTTGATGTTTACGAATATGCCGTCACCGATACTGCTGAAGAACCAGAATACCTTAGTCGAGGCAGATCTCCGCCGGCAAATCACAGGCGAGACAGGGCGCCATCCACAATTCCACTCCCAGAGTCCAGCCTCACGTCCACCTACGATGGCAATGATGGGGATGCACTAACGGCGGACGAGACAGTCGAACCGTCAGTCCTTTATGTGGACCCAGATACTGCATCAATAAATGGGGACATGGATGCCTCAGCTCTTCCCCTACCACATTCCAGCACAGGATCCGGATATCTTGACAGACACACTCTAGACACCCCTCCCACAAAAGAAGCTATCGAACCCCCGATATTAGCATCCAAACACGACAACACGGACCCACAGTACACCTCTGACATGGAGAAACAGCCCATGTTATTCGAAGCGATAGAGCCGCGACTCACAGCAGCGGTGAACCTCACACCGACAGGATACCCAGACGATTTAGCATTCATTGGAACCGCCCATGCCACTCCTTACGAGGTTATTTCTTCAGCGAATCTAGATGACGATTTGACGACAGATGCGCATAATGACAGGCATGTTCTTGAGAACTCCACGCTTGGGAGTTGAAAGGATTTTTGCATGACAGTAACGAATTTTAGCGAGGAGTAGTACCGTATATGATTCATGAGAAGGCGGTCAGGAAAAGGATGATCTTTGGATTTTTATTTCTATTTTGCGCTTCGCTGGGCAGTTTTTGGGGATTTATTTCTTCTGTACAGTAGCTTTTCAGCAACGATTACCATGATTTTCCGAACCGAGCCCCCTCTATCCGCCCCTTTCTCTCTCTCTCTCTCTCTCTGATCTCTTATAATGTGACGTGAGGTGGAATAGAAGTGCAGTGTAAACCTTGCCAATTTGTCGCCGGCCAAAACTAAGCAAGGAGGTGACCGCCACAATATGCAGAGCAAGCAAGGGAATTACGATCAGGATATAGGTATTGAAAACACGCCAACAGGAGATTCAGAATGCTTCGTATAACGGACCCGTCGTAGCCATCAAGCGAAAACTCACAATGATATGTCACTGGAGGCTTTCGAATGCGGATTCTGTGTTATGGTTTCTAGCATGGTCTGCAAATATATCAAAAGGAAGTCATTATCTTAAGAAATTAGAGCAAAAAAGAAGGCCGACGGCCCCTCTAATCACCAGCCTTGTGTAGCCTCGTGCACGGACTACAAAAGCTCCCCCACCCGCGACTTGACTTCATCTCAAATTCGACCCTTGTGTGTTCCAGTACTCAATATTGTCTGTTGCAATGTCACCTGTATTATCAGAAGACGACACGGCTCTACCCAAGGTCGACTTCGATAAGATAGAAGACAATCAAGATGCCTTTACCCTTCTGCCTCACGGCCATAAAGACATGGTGCAAGCCACCGCCTTCAACGTATACGGCGACCGTTTCGCGTCTAGCTCCGCGGATGGCAAGATAAAAGCGTACAACCGCCACAAGGACGGGACGTGGAACCTGTGTGATACATGGGCCGCACATACCGCTGAGATTCTACAGGTGAAGCCCGACCACCTGAACACTTCCCTATCCTTCCAATTGTAAGACGGCAGTGCTAACAACCACCCCTCCCCTGCCCGTCAAGATCCAATGGCTTCCCCCAACCATCCACCCCAACCTTATAGCATCCATCGGCACCGACGGCCGCTATAAGCTCTGGGTCGAAGACGCGACGCAGCCCCCGGGCAAGGGTCGCCGCTTCAACTCGCACAGCAACAAGCCGGTGCACGAGCTGCGGTCGCCGTCGCGCGCGCCCTACCTCTCCTTCGCCATCACGCACAACCCGGAGACGCGGCACACGTACCTGGCGCTCCTCGACCGGCATGCCGTGCTGAGCGTCTACGAGAACGACGAGCCCGAGAACCTCGAGGCCTGGAGCGACCTGGACCGGGTCACCGTCTGCGAGCGGCCGGCCCGCGGCGAGGAGGTCGCCTTCAAGGTCGCCTTCGACCCGAACCTCGAGCCGTGCTACGCCGGCATCCGGCAGGGCGTCCCTCGGGATGCGCTGGGCATCGTTGTGGCAAGCATGGGTAGGGCGAGCGTCTGGCGCACAAAGGAGATTTCGCACTCGGTGAGTCTGGGGTCGAGCACGACGAAGGAGTTCTACCTCGCAGCGGAGCTGAAGGGGCATAAGGGGCTAGTGAGGGATGTGGCCTGGGCGCCGGGTAACGTCAGGGGGTTCGATATCATCGCTACGGCGTGTAAAGATGGTTTTGTGCGGGTCTTCCAAGTCACAACGCCTGGGAGGGGGGGCAAGACGCAGAGGAGCTTTGCGAAGGCGCCCGACAAGGTGGTGGTGGTGCAGCAGAGGAGCGTGGAGAGTGGCAGCCGGCCATCGGGGATCGGGGCGGGCTTGCAAGGGGCCAGGGCGGGCTTGAGCGGGAGGGAGAAGGATGCGCGAATAGGCGAGGGAGAGGTGCCGCATGTTGCAAAGGAGGTGTCGAGGTTGGAGACGATGACTCCAGTTTGGAAGGTCGATTTTGATGCCGATGGGCAGCTGCTGGGGAGTACGGGCGATGACGGGAAGTTAATCTTGTGGAGGAGGGAGCCCAGTGGGGCTTGGAGCAAGAGTTCGGAGCTGGCCATGGCCAAGACTCCTGTCTCTTGAGATGCTGGTCACTGTCGAGTCGATTTATTACGTTTGGGGTTTGGGGCGAGGGAGCGACGGCGTTCTGGACGGATCAACTTTGAGACTTGATACTTCATAGAGCAGATACCCCTTCCTTCCCAAGAACCTGGAGTAACCAGAAGACAATTTACCCACATTTTGTGGCCAGAATTACATGTTACTGACCACTCTTCCCCGACGCCGAAACTCCCCAACAGGCAGTATCATCCGTACCTAGCCAACCGTGCAGTGCAGCCATAAACCCGACGGACACATGCCAACTGAACCCATCGATCCATCCATCGGTCTATCCATCGATCCATCCATCGATCGATCGATCCATCCATCCATCCATCCATCCATCCACCCGTGCACCCGTCCAACATCAAGACATAAAATCATTCAACTAAACGCTCCACGAATCCATCAAAAACGCTCTCCCACTTCGGCATCCTCATGTGCCATTCCATTTCCCACCAGGCCCCCTCCTTCCCGCTGATCCACTTCTCCTCCAACACCTTCCTAACTTTATCGTCACTTCCCAAGTTTTGCCCCTCTTTGTCCATCCACAGCCTCTCAGCATCCTCTTTGGCCTTTTTGACGACCACCTCATCGTCCTCGCACCGGTACAGATCGCACTTGGAGCACTCGGTGCAGCCTCTCCCGCCATTCGGCCGGAAGTGTTCGCAGAAGTGGCGGTAGCCCTCGCCGTTGCCAATATCCTTGCGGCAGACGTAGCACATCTGGTACCCGCAAACGCAGGTGAGTTTGTTACAGCCGGACGACTTGACGAATGACGTATTGCAGCGAGGACAAGTGCGTTTGATAGCTAGCGACATAGCAAGCTCGACTTGTGTCCTCAGCGCCAGGAGTGAGGACTCGTGACAGATATGTATATCCGTCCAAGCTTTCGAGCAGGAGATACAAGATGCTCGGCCACATTCTTTGCTCTGGCATACGAATTTGAGACCAAGCCGTTTTCTCCGGAGCCGGATAACCGCGGCGTTGAAATAACCCATGGCGAAATCGCCGAAGGTCTGCCTCGAAGAGACCAGGAGAAAGAGGAATGAAAATATAACAAAGGATGGTAAAAGGAAGGGTATCATGCCAACGCCTAAAATCAAAATTACAAATGTATAAAGGGAGGAGGGCACTACCCGCTTTAGCCTCCAGGATCGCTGCGGTTCCGGGAGGTAGAGCTCGTCTACCTCGGCGTAGCTGCAGAATGGACAGCGGATCAAGGGGAGTTGGGTTTTGAGAAGGTTGTCTTCGGCAAGACGTTCGTCGAGTTTCTGTATAACATCTTTGCCAGACTTCTCTTCGTCGAAGGCTCGCCGAACGAGCTCTGGAGGAACGCAGCCTGGACAAGCGTCTGACATGGCCGCTACACAACGTAATGTCCCAGCTTTGAGGTCGATGTTGCGCTGCCATCCCTGTCCAAATACTGCCTCGTTGACTGCATGTCGCACACACTGGAAGCATATTAAATGACCGCCATCACAAGCCGTTAGGTCTTCGAATGTAGTAGAAGTAAAGCAGCATTCGCAGTCATGCAATGCTTCGTTGTCTTCTGCTTCGATATTGTTCAGCTCTAAAGCTAGAGCGTGGTCTTTCTCTTCCCGCTCACACAGTGCCCGCTGGGTTAGAGGTCTTATGAGAGTGTCAAAAAGCTCCGTATCCAGTTCCGGGGACCCAGTAGTCTTGAGAGTGGGGACTATACATCCCTGGCCAAAAGATTGCCATATGACAAGAGGGTGTTGTTCAGCGTCAGAAGAACTCATGGTTTTCCGTCGCATGAATAGAGAAGAGATGGTGAAGCGCCATGATTTTGAGGATAGGGAAACAAGGGTTGGTCGTGCCAGCGTATAAGAATGGTTGAACTCGGCAAGTACAGCATTAATCGTAGACCTGGACAGCCCTTTGAACTCATGGTATGCAATGGTCTTTACCGCCTTCTTGTACTCTGCACTCCTGAACCTCTCTTCTGGGGGAACAAGTGAATCTGCATCGGCATGAGCAGCTGTATCTGTACCCGGAGCTGTGTCGGGCTTCGCCAGTGCCTTGTCCTTCCCTGACACCCTGTACCGCCCCCTCACCCATTTCATTTTGTGTTTGAGCAGCATCTCCGTTACGACGGCCAACCTGGATTCCTCATCAAAGCTCGAGAGCATCTCCCGAAAGACCTCGACCTGCACGTCTGGGAATATGGCCGCGAGGGCACCCAGGCTGTTGTTGAGTTCCCTCAGATCCGGGTCTTCGGGAGGTCGCGGGGGCAGCTGGGATTCTACGCGGATGTATCGCTCGGCGGGGGGTTCTTTCGCAGGACCGGGTTCTGGCGAGCTCTGGTCGGAGCTACTCGTGGGCGTGGACAAGGACTGCGAGGCGCGGCTCCGTCGACGGGGTGGTTTAGGGGATGAGCTAGATGGTTTTAGGAGCCCTGAGAACATGATGGGCTGTAGATAAGGATGAATGGATCACATGGTTCTCCGACCGGTGCATAAGGGCTCCATCGATGCCCCGATATCCTGCTGGTGGCGACTTGTTGTTGCTGTTGTTGCTGCTGCGGTTGTGGTGTGTTGTGTTGTTGTTGTGATAAGGGTATTTGTTGGTTTTGGTTTTGGTACGGATGGGTAAAATACCAAGAAGGATGACGGCTTACCCCTTGCCTCCCCCCGTCCGACTTTATTACCTATTAAGTAAGCACTTTTAATAGAGGACCCTGCGTTTTGGATACCCCGCCGAGCTTTTCACTGACTCAATAGCCCGCAGATCCCTTGTTGCAATAAATGATCTGCGGATAACAAATCAGAGTTATAACAGAGTCGTCGAGAATACGGATTTCCTCATTGATCATTGCGCTGAGAACCACATAGGGCTACGTTCTACGCTCAGGAAGGACTTGATCTTCCTCGATTTCACTTTATTCATCATCTAGACGAACTAAGTCGCGGTATTTATTCCTCTCCGCGTCCTTTCTATCTGCTCCCCATGCAAAATCATGATCAAACCCTCAATGGATAATATTCATTCTGGCCGGCCCTTCCATACGCCAGGCTATTATGCAGCTTTGAATCTTCGAAGAAAAGAAAAATGCCTCCAAGAGGGGTATAGCCACCCAAGATCCCCTGCCATATACACAGTCGGGCGGCAAAATCATGCTATAGAAAAAAGAAAAGTTCTCGCTCGAGCGAAGGGAGGGTGGGGGGCTATCAGGGGCGTTGTCGAGATTCAGATTTTGGTGGCCGTTGTGACCGGCTGGAGGATCGATTTGGAATTTGCGATTGTGGGTGTTGGTCCTCCAGCTCGATATCAGAGCCGTCGGTATTCGATGCAGTTCTGATTAAACTGACTCTCGCCAAAGGACTTCTCCCGCTTCGCCTATTCTGCGCTCCAGATCCCGCTTGCGGAAAAGTGAACGCTGCCGATGGCCCGGCTTCTGAAGGGGGGGGGACCATCTCTGGCGAGTTTGCTCCATCGCGGCAAGATTCCAAAGACTCGACAGAAGCCCTCCATCGCCCTCTTTTGAAATCCGCCTCTGTCATCTCATACACCTGCCCAGATGGAGAGCCAGCACCAGTCATAAAGTATGCACCACCCGCGAGCTTCTGATTTGCTTGGGCCATGGCATACTTCTTCCTGTCCTCTTCTCCCATGATGCTTTCCACCCGTCGAGGCATGTAAACAGAGTCGGTACTAGTTCCAGCCGAAATTTCACTTCCGAAAGAATCCCTCGGATGAAGATTGGGTCTATTGCCTGCAGCACCAAATCCCCCCGGTGCCATGCTGACCAGGGAATCGTTCGTCTGATGGTACCAGCCTCCTGGAAGTCTCTCTGGGGCCGTGAAGCGACCTTCGACGCGATGAGAGGGCTGAAGCGGCAGGTCCTTCTGGGCTTCAGCCGCGGGCTTGAAAGTTTCTGGGACGACGTTGAGGTCGTCGCCTTCAGCTGCCGCCTTCTCAATGACTTCCTGAGGACTGGTTGACGAATCGGCTGCTCCAGCGTCTGCTCTGGGGCCACCCCATGTCCTCTGGCCAGCAGTAAATATTCCGTACACCATGTAGTACCAGTTGAAGAATGGGTTGATGATAAACATGAGAGGATACAGCCAGATTTTGAATCGCCTCAACTTGGCGCCGAAGTAAATCATCATCAGCCAGTTCAAGCCTAGAGATATAGCAATGAACCCGACAGGAAGGTTCTGAACCTTCTGCGACGTACTAATGATCGAGATCAGCATGATGAAGAATAGGAGAGCGGTGGTCCGAATGGTATTCTGCATGAATCGAACTACTGCCAAGATTGGGTACCTCTTCCAGATTCTCATATCAGTTAGCATGCAAACCTCGTTGGTTATAAAACCGAGGAACCATCTTCGGCGCTGCTTGATAAGCGAGGTGTAGGTCTGTACTGCTTCCGTCTTGCAGAATGCGGAGGTACACATTTGGATCTGGTATCTCTTCTTTGCACCGATCATGAAGAGATGGGTCAGCCATCGGTCCTCCCCAAGATGGCACTTTCCATAGTCGAAGAGATCTTCGCATTGCTCGGCCTTGTCTGCAAAGTAGTATTTTGCCATTCGTCGGAAAGCGGAGAATCGCAGCATCGTCAAAGCGCCAGGCAGACAGGTGACGGCTCCACATCCGGACTCGACGGTACGCTCGAAGAGTTGTCCGTGAATATACTCCATATCCTGAAGAAGCGTAATAAGGCTGTGCTTTTTGGTGGTAGCGGTGATTACGCCGGTCATCGCCAGCATGTCTCTGGTATTCCCTGGGCTCAATTCCATGTCGTATACAAAGTTCTGGAGACAGACGCGATCCAAGATACAGTCCGAGTCGATGAACAAAATAAAGAGATTGTCGTTGCGCTTCAGATAGGCGGTGTAGACTCTGTCGATGAGCTTGAACGTCGCCTTTTGGCAATGCCTCTTTCCTCCGTGAGGGAAGCGAGAAACCGTGATACGGGCAGTTCGATAGGTAACATCGATACTTTTCGGGTAGGAGTCAAGTGACAAAGGCACACCCAGCTTCTCTATCGTGTTGAGATACAGCTCGTCCTCCTGGTCTCCATCGAAAGAGAGGAAGACGTGTATGCAAGAAGGTGGGTAGTCGCAATCCACAACCGAGTCGACCGCCGTCACGAGGGTGTCGGGATCCTCCTTATAGCATGGCATGACAATGACCACCTTCGGTGCAGAGTGCTCGTCCAGAACTCTTTTTATGCGTTTCGTCCGTCCGAGGGAGTGGGTGACCAGCTGGTATACACAGAAAAGCCAAGGTATCGTCAACAAGGCCGCAAACGACCAGAAACCGAACCACTGAAAGAACGACACCATCGTGGTGGGAAAGTACTGGTTGATTTGTCTCGGGAGAGGAAGTGTAACGACCATGATGGGAAGGAAAATTAATCTAGTCGCGAAAACTGAGTCAGTCTTCGAAGATCGTGGGCTTGGTTGTTGCATACCTCAGAGCCGAGAAAGCTATGGCAATGACCACGGCTAGGACTTTCACTGACCAGTGCTCAGCTTTCTGATATACCTTCACCAGGCAGTACATGAATGCCGCCAACCAGAGAAACCATTCGAGGAATGCCGCGATCATGACCGAGCCGACAATCGTGGTGTAGACGATCTACTATGTGGTCAGCGAATGCATACCCTACTTTCCAAGTCCGGGACAGGATCCTCACGTCCTTGGCCGGCCACGGTGAAGTGTCATATGGCATGCCGGGCTAGATCTCTGCGATGCGAGTGTGGTCTCCGAGGTGCAGAGAAGAGAAAGTCGCAGAGTCTCGCGGATTTTCCAGGTGTGCGCTCTGAGTGACCTGGGTCGATGTAGGCTCCCGAAGACGAGAGTCTAGAAGTGGGTAGCTGCATTCACATTCGTCAGTATGCTGTTTAATACCCTTCGAAGTCATCGACTCTCGCAATTAGCCGTGGATATTATCTGCTTACGGATTCTTCTCGAGAGACCGATTCTTCTTCCGTCATGCCACCAAATTTCCTGGCCAAAGGTCGTTTCAAGGTGGTTTGGTTTGACACGGTGTAAATCGACAACGACAACGATCCAGAGAATCGACAGTGACCCAGTGACACGACTTCGAGCCTAGGCCTGACCCAACCCGAGATGCGCGTCTGATGACGATGTGGTAGAAGGAAGGTAAGGAGGGCGAGGAAGGCGAGGAAGGATAGAAGGATAGAGGGATAGAAGGATAGAAGGAAGGCAAGGTGAGTAGAGTAGTGATAGTGATAGTGATGTAGGTAGGTGAGTAAGCACAGGAGAAAGAAAGGGCCTTGGGCTTGGGGGGAAGAGGTTGGTGTTCGATGGTCGATGGTCGAATATGGAAGGAAGGAAGGAAAGAAGGGGCGTGACTATAGAGGAAAGAAGGCGCCATCACGTAGTGACTGGCTCCAGGACTCTCTCTCACTCACCTGATTGATTGATTGATACATCGATTGATACATTGATTGATACATTCACCTCGACCTCCATCGCATCGGCTCCAAAAGAAAATCCCCCGAGACACCGTGATGCCTTCCCGTCGATCCGCGTTTCCCCTTTCATCCGGTGCTATATCGTCAACTCAAGCAAGCATCATTCTCCCCCAACAAAAATTGTCCCAAAAAGACAAGCACTCCCACATCACCTACCTACCACCTACTCCCTGGCTTTTCAGTACATTAAATGACAGACAGAGAGGACCTTTCATTGCATCTGCTATACATCACAGGACCATGCACGCGCAAGGTAAACCTTGGATTACCTTCCGTCTACATAGCAAGCAGAAGCAAATGTCCATCTCCGTCAAACGAACCCCGATTCCGCTGTTCGCTTTCTCCCAGTCAGTCCTACCCTCGCCCACATATCCCAGCAGCGTAGCCCAGCATGGCCAGTCATAATGGCACTTCCACCCATCCATCCACATCTCCCAAAAATCCAACAACAACAAACGGGTGCTGCTGCACCTCGCCCTCTCGCAGTGGCTGACGTCCGGTAAGAGAAGTCCGAATGGCAGTGTGGAGGGCGTCGCATCGCATCGCATCGCATCGCATCGTCGCCTGCTTCGTATGGAGTGGGGTGAGGTGAGGTGAGGTGAGGATGCTCAAACAAACACCCTCTCATCAGCCTACTTCGAAGTAGGACCCTGGCGGACGCCATCCGCGAGCAACAGAAAGGCTGTGCTGGGTAGTGATCCCAAGAACAAAGGTGTCTCTCGCGACCCGTAAACAATGTCTAATCATGACCTAAAGATTCCCCGCAGACAGGGCCTGTGATCAGCACATCTTTCGTACAATTACAGAATGTTGAAAATAAGAGAGCAAACGAGCAACTGGCATAGTCTCAGTTCCCGGATTCAGAAAGACAGCCAGCGACTGCTATGTCTTGCCGTTCTTGTTCGCGGTAGCAGCGTGTGCCTCGAGCATAGCCTTCCGAGTGAGTCTGCCACCAGCTTGGCGTATAGCTCTGACCGGTCGTAGGACACGCTCTTCCGAAGAGACACGGTCAATGGAAGCACAATCCAAACCAAGTCTTTCGATGGTGACAGAAGTCCGTCGTTTGCCCTGGGTAAAAATAGAAAGGGGGTTGCGCTCGACATGGGAAATTTTCGGCTTAGAGTCATACCAATCAACGTCACTGAGTTGCAGCTTCCGGTTGCGTTGCGCACTGCGGGTGTTGCCAGATCTATCAGACCTAGCAAAATTCATCCCGGCGGCTTTATCAAGACCTGCGTTCTGTCCGTAAATATTGAAATTTGGATTCAAGGGGCTCAGTGAGGAGTCACCATCAAGATCTTCGCCATCACGAAGCTCGTAGTTCAGAACAAGGTCCTTGATTCGCTTTTGTTCCTCGCGCTCAGCAGCCTGCTTGGATTTCATAGCCACGGCAAAGGTAGAGTCAGATGGCAAGGCAACTGTACGGGTCTGGAAGTTCTGTGTTAAAATTTAGTTCTAAGAAAAATAGAGGTCATTTGCTCACTTGTTGTCGATTTCCACGCTTGGTAAGCAGAGAGAATGCCATTGTGCCTGTGGGCGCATTGCCGTTCGATGATTCTTCGGCCCACGACTCGCTAGATGGAGTATTGATTGAGGGGTTCTCTTTGCGTCTCATGGGCAGGGGTACGTCAAAGGCGGGTTTGCGTTCATGCTTCCGGGAATCTAGACTTTCGGCCATCAGTTTCGCTAACTCGCGATCAAACTCCGCCTCGTCTTCAGGGTCAACTTCCTCCTCCTGGCGGGTGACAACAATAGACTCGTCCTCCGAATCAGTGCCAGCAGCAGAGGCCACAGCATCACCGTTGATCTCGATCTTTCAATTACAATTAGTCAGCTGCATCATCAAAGTTGAAGGGAAATATCTTACGTCGAGTTCCTCCTCCGTCTCAGAGTCTCCGTCATCATCAGCGTCAGGCAGGCCGCCATCGGCTTCCAGGTCACCCAGTCCATCATCTGATGATTTCTCGCTATCCACATCATCGGCCTCGGCTTCAAGAACCTTGTCCATACCGGAAGTCTTCTGGTCCTGTGCCATGGCAAGTTGAAATGCACGGCTAGCTTCTTCGATGTTGGAGGCAAGTTTCCATTGGGGACGAGTTAACGCGAAGACGTCTTGGACGATAAATTCAATGTCCATCGGTAGGGGATCCTTTGTGTAGATGTAGTACTGATAAAGTTAGTCATGGTCATTCTTCGGGATGCACAAATTTACTTGGAAGAAAGATAGGAAGTAATCCAACTTCTTGCCAGCAGCGCCACGATTGAAGAACATGCCGCACGAATCGAGGACAGTTGCCACGAGGCGAATGCGGAAGAAATCATCGGGCATGTCAAAGGGATTGAATCTTCCTGGAATGGGAGGACCACCATGACCAAATGTCAGGATTCGGTAAAGCGTGTCGAAGATGACCGGATGGTCAACCATGCGGTAATTGTACAGTTCGCCTAGGTATTTGAGTTCAGCGATTCGGCGCTGGTTAAACTTGAAGTCATTCTGTTCCAGGCCAAGAATGATCGACTCTAGAACGTTGTCGATCACGGTGATGACGAATTGTTGGTGGTACCGGTACAGGGCGCTGGCAATGATCGCCAGCAGGTGTATGCTACCATACTTGACTTTGCCAGGCTTGGAGAAAACCTTTTCAAGGATAGCAACGACCTATGTGACGTTAGTAGATATTACATGAACACTATTGCAATTTTGGCTTACATCAACCTCTTCCCAGTGAAGCCTGCGGATCTGCTTGAGGATCTTTGTGTAGTTCCGTGTGTTCATATCCAGATAAACCAGCTTGCGAATAAACAAGTCAATCGGTGTCCTCTCCTTCTGCTGGATAGCAGCTCTGACGGGCGGATCAACATAGTATACCGCATTTTCAATGAGCATTCGCTCTTGCTGCCCAATGTGCTGAACGGACTTCTTGCGCTTCAAGGTCTCCAGGAAGGATGCCATGCGAGGAGAAGTATCGGGGTTTCGGAGCAGATATCGGCCACAGTTCTCAAGGAGGTTGCAGATGATTTCGATATTCATTCTGGAGAAGTCATCAAGGCTGACTTTCAAGCAATGGAAGATGACGTGCTCGGGAACCACGCCGAATTTCGTCAGCTCGGCAAGGTAACGGATGTTGCCCAATCGAGCTTGTCCCAGGAATTCTTTCTCTTTGCGTCGCTGAAGACTCCGAAATTCTTGATCGAGATGATCAACCAAGCTTTTGGTTATATCCGGCATATACTTGCCCAGAGTCGCCACAAGCCGAGAATAGGAAGGCAAGAGGTCACTCCGACCTTTGGGAATTTCCTGTACTGCCTTGACGAGACGGTTTCGAGACGCCTTGGAGTTGAGGAAGCAGAAGTCAATGGCAGCTTGGTCAACTAGATCCTTATTGGTGAGATCGGGCAGCCGAGCAAGAAGCGCATCGACCTGGGCCCCAATTGTCTTGTTCGCGATTGCGGTGGACATATCGTCGTCCCTGGAGCTGGTAGGCTCGGTAGTGACATCTGCTGGATCAATCTTCTTGCCAACCTGCTCGTCCGTGTCTGTTTTCTTCTTCTTGCCGTCTTCGAGGAGCATTCCAGGAACCTTTCCCTTCAAGTCGACAAGGTTCTCGTAAAACCTCCGCTCATCATCGTCCTCCCAGATCCCAGCACCCTCGCCCTCGCCTCGCAGGTACTCGCCAGTCCTGACAAGACCAATGCCCCCGTTGCCGGCACCTGCGTTGTCATCAGAGTCCTTGAGATCTGGCATTTCCCCACCAATTGCATCGGCAAGAACCTGTGCATTTGCAATGAGTCGTTCCTGTGACTTGACGACCTTTTCATAACTGGCTTGTCGGTCTTCGAAAACCTGGCCAGACTTGACATAGGCTTCAGCATCTTTGCGAGCTTGCTTGCCAATAGCTTTTTGGTCGCGGAGGAGGTGGCCCTTGACATCCTCGAAGTATCTCTTCAGAATGTTCCGAAATCTCTCTTGAAGCTCTGCAGATGCCAGTGGCGGATCGTTGTTTGCGGCTTCGATGGGTGAAGCTGGGGCCGACTCATCACTGACGTCTCTGGTCCCGTCCACGTCCTTCGTAGCCCCATCTGCCTGGACAACCTTCCGACCTTCGGAGCCCGGCTCCTGAACGCCCAGAATATCCCAACCAAACGCCTTCACGAAAATGACAAGCAATGGGAGGTTCGCATGTTCCCTATCGTGACCTAGCAAATCCTTCAGAACCTCTAAAGGGAACGGCTCTGCGCCGCCACCCTTACCCACCGAAATGGCCTTCGCCTTCGCATCAGCCTTTCCAGTGGCACCTGAGAGGGACTCCTTCCCTCGTGAATTATCATCTGGGCGGCTGACGTCGTCCAAGGTTCTCAGAACTCCCACAAGCCAAAGCTCCGTCACGACTCTCAAAAGCACTCTCTGGCGCGTGATCCGTTCTTTCTCCTCCTTCTCTCGGGCTTCGGCCGCGAGGTTCTTCAAAATCGATTTCTCTGGCGTCGCGAGGCCCTTGCCAACCAGCCAGCCCAGGAATTCCGTAAACTCGGCAGGTCCGAATCGCTGGTGTAGCGCGCTGACGATCTCCACCCCAGCTTCGATTTCACCGGGCGACTTGAGCCTGCACAGTCCCTCATAACATGCTGATATGATTTCCGACAGGTATTTGTGCAGACTGAGCGTGCGAATCTCTTGCAGGAAGGTGCTGAGGGTAGCGGTGGAAACGGCGGTTCTGAGACGTTTGATGAAGGCGGTGTTCTTTTTGAGGGAAGAATCGAGGGACTTGTTAACTTCGAAGATACCTGCAGGGCCAGATAAATATTTGTCCGCAGTATGTCCCTCTCCGATGTCATTTGGAGAGGTACGAACCTGTTTCTCCGTTCCACGCACGGCTGTTCAGTTCGCGCAACTCGCCTGGCCATGGAGTCAGTGAATGCCTACCGGCCCCGTCTGTTTTCCGCGTAGCTTACGCTTTCTCTTGCGATCCATGGGGAGCAGTTGAAGCCTGGGCAAGTCGGACGGTTGTTCGTGTGGATAGGTGGGTTTGTTGTTGTACCTCTGGCCGGTGGCCCCCACATTCGCGACTCTACTTAAGGGAACTTGAACTTGAAGGAGTGGAAGTAGGCTTTGGTCGCAGGAGTGAAATGCATCTGTACCAGGACGGGTGAGGTAGGTGAGGTTTGCTGGAGCGTGTGCGATTTCTTTTGTTTTGGGGGGGGGGGGGGGGGAATTAGATTGTTTTTTATTATTTCGATGTGCGGTGGTGGGTTGGGTGAGGTTGTAATTATTTTGGTTCCTCGGTAAGAAAGAAGTTTGGGTGGGTAGCACAGAGGAGAGCTCTCCGGATGTTTGCTGTAGGTAGGTAGATGGTAAAGGGACGGTGGGTAGGTAGGTAGCCGGGAGTGCAGTAGCGGCAGGCAGCCCGCCCGCGCTTGTACATGGGGAAATTGTTTGCAAATCGCAGTCGCAGTCGCAGTCGCAGTCGCAGTCGCAGTCGCAGTCGCAGTCACAATCACGAAGCTCAAGCCGAAATGCGGGATTGTTATTGTTCGTGCAACTGTCCCCCCTTTTCGTCTATTCAAACATGAGAGGAGGGTTGTGCGGAAAGCCGCACCGCACCGCAGCCTCGCTGCCCCTCTTTGGGCAACCCCTGCCCGCATGCGATCGATACGGAACCAGCTGGAGAGATGTGTAGGAGATGTATATATATATATATATATATATATATCTATATCTATATCTATATCTATATCTATATCTATATCTATATCTACATACATCGACAAAGTCTATATCTATATTGCTTTGCTCACCCGGAACGACTCATGACAACTCGCAACATCCATTCTCGAACAAGAGATGCGAATGCTGCGGGCAGAGCATCGTTCGTTCCACGGCAGAAGATGACCCTTTACGCATACCTACTATACTATCCGGTACCTACCTACACTTCGGAGTCGGGGAACAGATGCGATCCAAGCACTCATGCACTCATACACTCAGACTGACGCATGGCTCAATGACAAGGCTGCAAAGTGGGAGTTGCTTGGGACCATCCAATCTGCGCGACAGCGAGGTCCAAACGGGCGCATCTGGCTCGGCATGTAGATTTGTAGTGGCGGATCGTATTGTCAGTATGTCTTCCTCGGAAGAAAGAGCTCCAAGTCGAACAATTGGATTCCCACAAAGGCCTCAAAGGCCTCAAAGGCCTCAAAGGCCTCAAAGCTGTCCGTGACCGTGACCGTGACCTCATCTCGGCACACACAAGTCCGTCTGCTACTGGTACCGGTAGTCCTATAGGTAGTAGGGAACTGGACGCTGGAACTGGACGCTGGAACTGAACGCTGCAACTACCGTACCGAGCTGGCGCTGCTCGGATACTTCGGGTCAAGTCCAAAGCTTCTTCAATCGTACAGTACCGTATCGGATACCTACCCACTGACATGATTGACGCTTCGTCTCGGGCTGCAGCAACAAATGTATGCACTGCACTGCACTGCACTGCACTGGTAAACAAGTCCCGATGATAAGGCTGTGACCGGAGAAGCCTATATGGAACCAATCACCGGTGTCAAAGTTTTCTCCAACTACCGGCACTGCTAACCAGCTCGCCCTACTCCGCGGAAATGGCTGCAACAGCATGCCATGATGCCCATCATTCTTCTGGAGGCGACCCTACTTAGGTCGGTAGCCAGGTCGCTAGGTGTAAGTAAGTAATATTGACATAGTACATCGGTTTATCTTGCTCTTCAGATGCCAGAATCCTCCTCTTTGGCTTCCCTTCTCTTTCGAGATCTCTACACTGAGTTACTACAGCTTGTAGCCAGCCAACCATGTCTACCGACGTGACCTCTACAGCTCCTCTGCCTTCTCGGGACTGGCCTTTGACTTCCTTTCAGATACCACCCAGCCCGCCCAAGTCCGAACACAGTGGCAGCGAAGTCTCCGATGAATCGTCTCCAAGCCCAGGAAGTCCGAGTGCGGCAGTAGCTTCTCGGTATCCTCTTCCTCCACCGACCAACCCGCCAACAAAGGTTCTCCAACAAGACCTCAAGACCCCGGACAACCATGTACCCCGTGATGCAAGACTTATTCGCCTGACTGGCATACATCCTTTCAACGTCGAAGCGCCACTCAGTGCCTTGTACGACGAAGGTTTCCTCACATCGCCAGAGCTCTTCTACGTACGGAATCATGGCGCCGTGCCCGAGGTTGACGATGCTTCGGTCCTGGACTGGGAGTTTACCATAGAAGGATTGGTCAAGAACCCGATAACCATGACTTTGAAGCAACTCATGGCCGAGTACGAGCAGATCACCGTACCGGTTACGCTCGTCTGCGCTGGCAACCGAAGGAAAGAACAGAATCAGGTTCGGAAATCGAAGGGCTTCTCGTGGGGTGCTGCTGGTGTGTCTACTGCCCTTTTCACAGGCGTTGCAATAGGCGAACTTCTCAAGAGAGCTGCGCCGTTGCGAGGAGCAAAGTACGTCTGCATGGAAGGTGCCGATAAACTGCCAAATGGCTACTACGGAACGTCCGTGAAGCTCAACTGGGCAATGGACCCAAACAGAGGTATCATGGTGGCCCACAAAATGAATGGAGAGATGCTTCGTCCGGATCATGGAAAGCCCCTGCGAGTGGTCGTCCCTGGTCAGATTGGCGGCCGTAGTGTCAAGTGGCTCAAGAGACTCGTTGTCACTGCGGCTCCCAGCGACAACTGGTATCATATATACGACAACCGGGTTCTCCCTACTATGATCAGTCCCGAGCAGAGCGCTAACGAGCCGAGATGGTGGATGGATGAGAGATATGCTATATATGACCTGAGTACGAACAGCGCGACCGCGTACCCAGCCCATGATGAAAGACTGTCGCTAGTAAACGCACCCGAAACGTACAAAGTTCGCGGATATGCGTATGGAGGAGGTGGTCGGAGAGTGACGAGGGTCGAGGTGACTCTGGACAAGGGCAGATCCTGGGCCCTCGCAGACATTCGATACCACGAGGACGACTATCGGGATCATGCCGACGAGGATGAGATGCTGTTCGGAGGGAGGCTCGACATGGGCTGGCGAGAAACATGCTTCACTTGGTGTTTCTGGGAAATTGACTTGAAGGTCGGGGACCTGGAAGTGGCTGGAGATATCATGGTCAGAGGCATGGACGAGGGCATGAACGTGCAGCCCAGAGACATGTACTGGAGCGTTTTGGGAATGATGAACAACCCTTGGTATCGAGTCACGATCACCAAGGAGGGCGAGTCTCTGCACTTCGAGCACCCCACTCAGCCAGCTTTGATCCCCGGTGGATGGATGGAGAAGGTGAAAGCGAGAGGCGGCAACCTCGCCAACGGATTCTGGGGCGAGAGCATGGGTGGCGACGAAGAGACGGACATTGTTGAGGCCAAAAAGGAGATCAAGATGACAAAGAATGGACTTGACAAGAGCATCGCCATCGATGAGCTCAGGAAGCATGACGAAGATCACAGCCCGTGGTTTGTCGTCAACGGAGAAGTATACGATGGAGCAGCTTTCCTCGAGGGCCATCCCGGAGGAGCAGCCAGTATTGTCGGTGCTGCAGGTCAAGACGCCACTGATGAATTCATGGCCATCCGTAAGTTCACGCAGCGAATTCTCCCCCTCCCACCTGGCCTGGCTAACGTAGCACAGACTCCGAGAACGCCAAAGAAATGATGCAGCACTACCACATCGGCTCCCTGGACGAAGCCGCCCGCGCCATCCTCTCCAATCCCGCGGAAGAAGCCCCCTCGTCCACCCCCCGAGAAATCTTCCTCCAGCCCAAAACCTGGACCAAGGCACTCCTCTCCTCCAAGAAGTCCGTCTCGGCCGACACCCGCATCTTCAGCTTCACGCTCGAGCATCCGGACCAGATGATCGGTCTCCCCATCGGCCAGCACCTCTTGATGCGTCTCCAGTTGACGCGCGAAGTGATCATCCGCCCCTACACGCCCATCTCCGAAGGCACAGACAGGGGTACTCTGCAAGTGCTTGTCAAAGTGTACCCCGACACGGCGGACCGGGTCGGGGGTAAGATGACGAAGGCGCTGGACGCGGTCCCCGTCGGCCGGTTCGTCGATTTCAAAGGCCCGATTGGGAAGTTCGAGTACCTTAAGAAGGGGCACTGCACCATTGGGGGCCGGCCTCGCTTCGTGAAGCGGTTCATCATGATATGTGCCGGGAGCGGCATCACCCCGATCTTCCAAGTCCTGCGGGCTGTGCTGAGCGATCCCGAGGATGGGACGAGGTGTTTGGTGCTAGACGGAAATCGTCTTGAGGCGGATATCCTATGCAAGGAGGAGATGGATGCCCTGGTCAGGGGTCGGGAAGAGCAATGCAGGCTGCTGTATGCGCTGACGAAGCCGGAAGAGGGTTGGAAGGGATTGGTGGGGAGGATCGGGAAGGAGTTGCTTGAGAAGGAGGTTGGAGCGTGTAAGGCTCAGGATGGAGAGGATTTGGTGCTGATTTGTGGGCCGGAGGCCCTGGAGAAGAGCGTACACGGCTTCTTGAATGATATGGGGTGGAAGGACGACGATTTGTTGTTTTTCTGAGCGGAGGCTCGCAAGAAACATGTCTGTTAGCGGTTCTGCATCTATGGGTTGCATTTCCCGGGCGGGCGTATGCTGCAATACCCCAACGTTGGAGTTGATGAGAGATATATAGAGAATTCATGCTGAATTGGAAAGTCGTGTCTATTGCTCTGCTCTAGATACAATACGTCCTGGGGTTATGGTGAAGCCAATGACGGGCAAGTCTTTCCATGTCATTATAACTACTACCTGCCAAACCCAAACCATCCCTTCTTCTGTTGGGCGGTTTGTTCCACCGTCTGGCCCTTCGCCGCTACCTCTTGTGCTCCGTTGGTCTCGGGAATCTCGTGGACCTCCCTGCCTGGATACTCGATGTAGTTCCACGCAGCATCGAAGAATAATGGCTTCACGGGGATTGGCTCCAACTTCGGAGGATACGTCACCAGGTTCTTCAGGTCCACATCCTTCGCCGGGTATTGGCTTAATCTTTCGACCAGGGGTTGTCGACTCGCTGAGTCGTCGGAGTTTTGGGATGCGGCGAGGTTGGAAAGTTCGACGAGCGCGCGATAATGTTGAAGCTCGCCATCAAGAAGGGTCTTCAGGAAGTGCACTTCTGAAGGGAATATGGCGATATTTGGGGGTGACGAGTCAGATGTGTCCATTTGGGAGGAGATTTGGGAGTGTGCGGCATCACACTTTTCAGATGCACGAGCAAGGAGAGCGAGAGCATTCTTGGGATTGGAGAGGAGAGCGTGGGAGCGGGCTAAGGTCAGACACCTACAAGCAAGATTGTCAGCTCGCGCGGTTTGAGTTTTGGCTTACATGATACTTACTTGAGTGCAGAGAAATACCCATATTTTGCGTCCAGCTCCTCAAGAAACGAGGCATCGGCTGCAACTCCAGGGAGCTCTTTGATGGAGTCCAGACTTTGCAGAATGGAATCATAAAGAGCGGCTTTTTCGCGTGAGCGAGCAAGCTTGCGTCCAGTCCCTTCCACCAGTGCAACCTTTGCCTTCTTCTTTTTACTATGCTGGACCATGGGTTTGTCGATCACGGCTCCATCTTGCTCTCCAACTAACACTCTGTTTCGTCCTATTCGCCAACTGACCATTTCGTAGCTGACTGCTGTCCTGGTGATTTGTAAACTCTGCATACGCTTATCTCCTTGTCCAACTCCTTCTCCAGCCAGTTCATCGATTGCATGCTTAGTCGCATCCACTGCATCTTGACTTGCGATGAGAATCTCGTCATAAGCAGAAGCCTTCCCCTTGGCTTGTGCAGCTGTCACCGATGCCAGTGTCTGAGTCAATTTTTCTGCTGCACTGTTTACTGAAGCCAGAGCCGTAGCGATTGCAGCGTCTTCCAGGTCGACCGTTCGAGACCTCCATGTTATCGATTTCGGGATGGTACCAGCCGCCGCAGTTGCGGCCCTGGCCCTAGTCGGTTGGTCATTCAATACGTCTGCATCAAGCTTCTCTACTTGCGAAACCAACCTGCTGTCATGACGCGGGAAGAACTTCCGTGCAATATTAGGTATAGCTACTGTGCGAGGCAATTTCATCTGGTATGCTCCGTATCGTATGCTTGGGTCAACTGGATCCGACAGTAGATCCTTGAACATATCGCTCTTTGTAGACGTAGCCAACGCACTGTAAATGATCCTAGCTTCAGAGTAGCTCTCCACACAAGGCTCCCACTTCTGCCTCTCGAATTCCCGGGTCCCAGAGAGCATCGCCGCGTACGCACGTGCTTCGAGAACATCCTCGTCGACAGCACCGGTGGTCTCATTGTCCGTAAGAAGTTGGTATAACGTGCTGGCATATTTGGTAGCTTTATGAAGCCGTGAGATTATGTGCGATCGAGTTGAGCCAGTGATCCCCTTCTTGTCCGCAGAATGGATCTCCCTCATGGACATGGCATGTGCCCACGCGCGCTCTGCCGTGAGCAACAACAGGTTTACGAACCTTCGAATACATTAGCATGAACTCAAGTCGAACCAAGTCGAAATCAAAGGCTACCGTCCAAACCTACTCCTTGTTGCGCCCAATATCTTCAGCAGTCACCGGGGCCTTGCTGGAATACTTCGCGCGGGGTTTTGTCGCAATCCCCAGCTTCGTGCGCAGGTTATGGATCCGGTTTGACAATAGCGTGCGGTACTTTGCATAGTCGCCAAAGAGCTTTGCATTGTCGCGCCCTGACACGACAAATTTGGTGACCTCCATCTCTGCTGCGCTGTGCTGCCGGGTCAGTTGTCCAGGAACTTGCGAAATGTGAAGTGTGAAGTGTGCTTGGTGGGGTCCGGAAAGACAGGGTCATTCGAAAATACGCTAAGATCGTCCTCCTCCGGCTTTGATCTTTGCCTCCTGGCTCCTGTCCAGATTCCAGCATTCTGATCCTCATCCCCTCTCGCCATCCGATTCTAAGCTTCTTGAAGCTGAAGCATGTCCTTTGGTATTATATATTCCAATTTTCTACTGTATAAGGCTGCGTGGCTAACGTCTGGTCAACTAACATAGATTCCTCAGACACGCTTGAGACCAGCAGTTGACCTCCTCCTCCGACATTATAGATCTGGGTCTTCGGTCAACGTCTTCCGGCGCGGATAGGGCATGCTTGAGCGTACGGCAGGATGTCTAGAGTCAGGCAGTATGCGGCGCCTCCTGCCAGCCTCCAGGAAAACATTGCAGAGTCGCAGAACTCTCCATTCATCATTCTGGAGCCACGGGGCTATCGACCTTGAGATGTCACCGTTGTGGACTGCTTTGGTTCGGATGGTAGAACCTGCAGATCAGGAGCCAGAGAGAGATGTGCAGCCTCGACGATCGACCATGGCGCAGACTGGGACGTTACTGGAATTTTTGTACCCAAGCGGTACCATGAATATCCTGCGGCAGTACTCGGGCTGGGGAGCTGATAGTCAAGGTGGAAGGTTGGTCAGGAACAATCTGGACAGAATTGGCTACCGACAATACTCTTCATTTGCGAAAGATTCCAATACAGACATGACAGAAACCGCTGCTGAGACTGAAGCTGTCGCAGATAATGTCCTGTCAGCTGCCGACAATGCTAGCATGAAGAGGCTTTACGAAAGACTGGGTCTTGAAAAGAACTATGACTTTGAAGAAGCCTGGCGACAATATTCTTTGCTGGAACTTGAATCAGAGCAGGGTCCTCTCCGTATGCAGCTGATACGATACCTCTCGCCTTCGGAGCGTATCGTCGATGCAGAGCGGATAATAAAGCTGTTCGAGCTGTTGGATCCCGAAGAGAGGACTCCTATAGCCTATAGGCTCACGATACGATCTTACCTTAGATTGAGAAATCTTGCGGACGCGATGACCTTGCATGAGACTGGCTTGAAAACTCTGGCTATCCCAGCAGGATCAGAGGAACTTCTTGCATATCTAGTGAAGAATTCCTCCTGGTCACGAGCGTTCTCCATTTGGCAACAAGTTCAGGATTTCAGAGATCGTCCAGGAGTCAAGGTTAGCTACAATATCTTCGAAGTGCTCGACCAAGACCCCTCCCTCTCTAGTCAGGCACTTGATCTAGCAGAATATGCAAACAGAAGAATCGGCAATGCTCCTCCCGAAAAATCAGAGGAATTTTTGAGTCTCATAAATTTTGCGTCCAGGATTGTCCGACGAGCTCTGCTAAACTCTCAAACGTTTAATCCGAACAAATTCATGGCTCTTTTGATTGTCCTCCAAAACTGGAAGCTGGCTACTCCTATGCTCTACGACCAAGCTATCGACTTGCTGATCAATCTCCAAGAGACGAAGCTTGCGGTCAGGTGTTATCGACAGGCTCGGAAAGAAAACGACGTCAACTGGAATCGTCCGACTCTGCACAAATTACTCAAGATATTCTGCGTCCATCACAGTATCATCGGCATGCAAGCTGTCCTGGACGATTTTTTTCGGATCTACTCGAGCCCCACTCGCTTGGCCTACAAGATGTGCATGAGTGAATTTGCCGCCCAAGGCGATGCCCAGACTGTTCATGCTCTCTTTGACCAATTGTGTGAGAAATCAGCGGAGAAGAAGAAGCTTAATCCGAAGACGAAGACGCTTCTGCAAGTCGACGACCTGGCACCAGTCCTTCATGTGCACGCCAAACGTGGTGAGGTGCAAGAGGTGGTCAGATTCTTTCGATCAATCAAAAGTGTCTATGGTTTTGAACCAAGTCTCCTGTGCTGGAACATCTTGATCAGTGCCTACGGCAAGATTCGCGATACGGACCGCGCATATGCATGCTTTGAGAAGCTACTCGATGATGAGACACTTCAACCAGATGACTATACATTCGGCACAATGATGGGTATCTGTACAACTCGGGGTGATGTGGACCGTGTCATCGGACTGTATAAACTCGCTGAGCAATTGCAAGTACAAAGAAGTGCTGCAATGATTGATACCTTAGTGCTGTCCCACATTCGAGATGGTGATATCGACAAAGCTGAAACCATTTGCGAAGAAGCGGCCGGAATGGAGCTGAAAGGATCCCGGACACGAATGTGGAACCAACTTCTCGTCGCGTATGCTATGCAGCGAGATCTGGTCACCGTGAACCGATTGCTGCAACGCATGTCACAATTAGGTGTCGACTACGACGGATACACATATTCGGCCTTGATGCAAGCTTTATGTGTGGTCAGGCAACCCGACCGAGCCTATAGCATTCTGACAAATGTCATGCCGCAGGCTGGAATCAGTTCAACCCCCTTTCACTACGCCATTGTCATGGGAGGATTTCTTGCAACAGGTGAACTTCACAAAGTTTTTGACCTCTCGAATAGAATGGTCAAGCGCAAGATGAGAGCCAGTGCAAGTTCAAAGCTGTTCGAATTGCAAGCTCAGGTCGTTGAGGATGAACGGTTGATGGAGGAAGGGCAAGCGTCAGAAATGATCGGCCGGGCATTGGAAATGTTTCAGGGAGCAATTGCCGCAATAGATCCCCAGGACATTTCAGACACCACTAGAAAAGGCGCTGGGAATGTGCCGGTGGATATTGCGTACCCGACAATGTTCTACCGCTACATCATATTCGTTGTTGGTCAATACTCCGAATTTTCAACCGTCGATAAGCTTTACGATGCGTTCAAGAGAATTCTCCCAGGATACCGTCAAACCGTCCCACTCGAAATTCTATACCCCATGATGGAAGCAAAGTTGGTGGAGAGGGACCATGACGCTATTCAGCGATTCTGGGAACTCGCATTGGCCCAGGCGAAAGGGGCTGGTACACCCCTAGTCAACTCCGGCAACTTGCCAGAAGACCATCTGACCGAGGTTCGATCTGAAAAGATTCTTCCAGCACGGCAGCTAGATCTAGTAAGGCATCTCACAGTCTACCTAAAATCGCTTAATATCCAGATGAAGTCCGACGTCATGACGCAAACAGTGAACGGCTTACTGGAAGATGGTTTTCTCTTGGACAACCATAACTGGAACTCCTACATCGAGCTCCTGGCCCGTAGACACGCATACAAACTCGCATTCGAACTTTGTGAGACTCACTTGATGGACGGCTGGACTGGCTGGGCTCGAATACGATGGTCTCTTCCAGAGCGAAACCGTCTGCCCCTCGACCTGCGTAACACGAGGAAGAAACCTAGACATCTGCGACCGAAGTACCTCACCATCCTGTATCTTGCACGAGGATACCTCGAGCTTCAGTCGATGGCTGCAGAGTCGACGGCTGACGAAACGCTCCTCAATTATCTGGAGACTAATTGCCCGAGGGTTGTGAGAGCCATCACGACGATGCAACGAGTCGACGATTACCTTGAGCGGACTGTACTTAGAAATTTTTGAAGTGTTTGTACAACGTGTATACTTGAGTGTAGGCTCTGTACCATAGCACATCTCGCTGCCATAGAAAGCTCTTTTTCGGGAAAAGAATTCAACTACATCTCTAATTGTTCAAATTGACGCTCAATGTGAGATTCTCGAATAGTAATGTAAAGTAAACAAAGGATCTCGCTAAATGAAATATTACGGCCCATGCTCTGACGAGGCGCCCCGGCACTTCCCGTGACTGGGCGCAACAAGTGAGTGGGGTGGTCTCTGCTCTATCACCTAATTATCCAATCGGGTGGGTCTCGGCGAGTCAGATAGGGCAAGCCCCGCCTACAAGTAATTTGAATATATATCTTATTGAGACTCGCTCGCTCATTGTGAGATATCCGGAATGGTGTAGTGGCTAGCATTTCTGCCTCTCAATGATCCAAGTGATCGGCGTGAACGCAGGAGACCGGGGTTCAATTCCCCGTTCCGGAAACAAAAATTATTCTTTTGTTTTTTGCCCATTTTTTTTGGTGCATGATTTTAACAAGGCCTGAAACATTTATAGAATGAACGGTTCCTGATAATTTTCTCGCTTTACTGAATCGTTTCTGGTCAAATTTTACCGTGCGCACTTCAGTTGTCTTGTCCTTAATCGTCGGCTAGTCTGAAAGGATGATAAGAGGCCTACCTAAGCGAGCCGACGATTACGGTATATCGTCCTCTTCCTCGTCCAACTCGCCCTGTCCCAAACCACCTCAGGATCACCTCTCCCGGAACCCTCTGAAGATCCTCTACCTACCCAATCGCCCTCCCAACTTTTATCAAGTCTATCATCCTCATACTGGTAATGCCCAAATTCGCGACGCTCCCCATGGCCCACATGGCCGCCGCGCTCGCATCTTTGCTATAACTCAGATGATCGGCCGTAACCTTCGCACCGCCCTTACATATATCATCGCCCGCGTGGCACACGGTCATCACCCTGCTACCGTCCACCCCACTGATCGCAGTCCCGTTCTGAGGGTCCCCGAACATCACGATGCTGGTTATGCGTGAGGTCGTCGTGTTTGGAAGAGAGGAGGTTGCGAGGTGCACGAGCTGTGCGCCTTGGGAGTAGCCGGAGACGAGGAGAGGCGTCGTGGGACAGGCAAGCAGGGTGGAGTTGATCAGGGAGGCCCTGGAGCTTGTAAGCGTACTGTAGTCCGTCCTGAGTGGCTTCGGCTTTGGGATGAGGACGTACATCTTCGCAGCACCTTTCTGTGAACCCCCGGCGAAAAAGCCAGCGGGTTGAGCTTCGTAGTCCACGCCTTGGATGGCGAGTTGGTTCGTGCCGTTCATATACTCTCCAATAGCAGCGAAGAACGCTGGACCCGCGAGGAAGCCGACATTGCCTATTATTCATATATATATCATCAAATCGAGCCTCACAAGTCTACCCCCACTCCCCGGATTCTCCCTTGAGAAAGGCGACCTACCGGGCTCATTCGTCCCCCTCGCAAAGATTACGCTCATCCTCGGACAGATGGTCTGGTTCGTCTTCTTGTTCCTCAGACTGGGCATCGGTCAACCAAGATTCCCACATAAGATTATCTAGCTTGCTCGTTATTACTTACCCATTCTGATAGATCACGCTCCCGTGATCGCCGAGGAATGCCCCCAATCCGCTCGCCAGACTTGAGTTCGCGCCCAGCACTCCCCTTATCACATCCCCGATGTCGTTCCCGCCGCCAAGGTCTTTCAGGCTGAATGAACGATCCGCTTGCACAGAAGCAGGAATAGAAAAGATGATTACTACACTGGCAATTACAAGAAGCAAGTTTAGAGGGAAGGTCATGGCGAGGAGGTTCCGGCCTCAGCAAGTTCGTATATGTGAAATGTTCGCGTCGTCAGGATCGCAGCTTGTGGTCTGGTAGCAGGTACAAGACGGCGTTGTGATGGTAGAGGAGATGCTTGAAACGCGGGATCCAAACACTTCAAGCTTCAGGCACACGTCAGAATCTGCCAGCGCTGGCTGTTGATAATTATGAGCGTCTGCTTTTGGGAGCCAGTCGCTGCGTGGCTGCGTGTTTGAAGATGAACACATACAGTGCATCTGGAGTTTCAAAAATCATGATCGAAACGCCATGATCGAGATGCGAAAGCATGAGCAGTACCGGAGCAGGTAACAAACACATCAAGAGAAAATAAGAGGTGATATTCTAATATTAAGAATACCTGGTGCAATGCCCGAGTCAGATAGCGAATAAGTACACTGAAATCACGCTAATAAATACCAATAGTGCGGTACACTCGGCGCAGAAGGTGACTGCACCAACGGCAGTTGCGTATGTATGCTAGATTATATCGTCGTCTTTACATCTTCTTGTCCGTGCGCACGACTCGAAAATTCGAACAAGATGGTATCAGATGGCTCATGTGCACTCTTGGACGGAATTTTAAGCACTCAACTTTGATGGGAAGGGACTATTAGAATTCTGCGGGGTATATGCATTAAGATGTTGTCTAATATATCGTTGTGCGAATAATAGCGATAATGAAAGCCACTTCTGAGATTCATCCACAATTATCCTATGCTCCATGCTCCGAACCGGGTATTCCCTAAAACAATTTACTCCTGCAAAAACTCATACTAATCTACGCCATCTTGCAAGCTCTTCATCTCAACGCCAAGATCCCTCAACTTCTTTGCAAGTAGCCCGGAGACCAATCTGCTATCAGGTGACCCCATGAGGAAATTGCCTCTGTAACCAGCATCTCCTTTGTTTAGTCTGTCATAATCTCCGTCGATACCAGTGAATTCACTATTCCATGACATAGACCTAGAGCTTCTTGACATCGGCGCCTGACTGCTCCTGCTAGAAGATGGCGACTGAACGTCCGTGGGCCTTTCAGAAACAGCATCATTGTCCATGCGTGCAGACTTAGCCACTAGGCTGAATGGGATGGGTTGAACGGGCTTAGTACTCGAGCTTCGACCAAAGTCGAGTGGCGATCCGCTACTGAACCCATCCTCCATCGACGACGTGATCCCAACCATCGGATTGAACGCTTTCGCCGGAGGACCCAGGGGGGACCCCGAACTTCGTCTTCGATATGCCTTCTCGGCTGCAAGACTGGCGCCTGCACCTCCACTAAGTGCGAGGCTAAGAGTAAAGTCCCGACCAGGCTTGTATGTACTGAAGCGTGGTTCGGGTAAGGAGAGCTCATTCCGTAGCTTCTCCTTTCCGTCTGGTACACGATTGGCGAAAACAACTCTAATGCTTTTGTAGAGATAAAACCGTCCACGAGAGGGCGAACATATGTGCAAATGTATTAAATAGCGTAAAATAGGACGGTCTAGTGGATTTGACGACGTTTGCGGTATGGCAGGAACAGGCGTATCAACGATGGGGCCAGCTGAGTAGCTTCGTTGGCGAATGAACGTTTTGGTGCCTGGTTCCATGCCAGCGAGGTCGTAGGGGACGAGAAATAGCTTGACAGCCGTTTTGTTTGGGTTCTTGATGATAATTTGCAACTGACCCTTTTCGGGAATTCTGTAGCTGCCTCTAGGAGGTGCTCTAGGCGATGTCGATCTCCGTTTGAACTTCCCAGCTCGGCGAATCTCACGCTCTGTAAGCTGGGGTGTAGTCAGGTCATCAGTCATCTCAATGTCCCCTTCCAAGGTGCGGGTCAGATTGGTGCCGCGCTTCCTCTTACTATCTCGAGCCTCATCCGAGTTCGGCAGGCTGTTTTCGAGATCAATTTGACCAACGTACGGACTGGGTCCATCCTCATGTTTGCCTGTACGACCATGGCTCGTACTTTCATAGCTGTAGAATACAGCAGGGAAAGGCACGGTCACATGAGCTGGGCAGCGAAGACTCGACTTGCACTTACCAAGACCCAAAACACCAATCTGGGCAACGAAGTCCAGGGGTTTGGAAGGGGTCGTTGACATTCGCCCACGGATAATGCTCTCTTCGTACGAACCGACCATCGATGCATGGTGAAGTGGCGAGCTATCTGACGTGTACGATGGCCTTCTCGGTATTTGTGGAGAAGGAGTAGAATGCAGCATATTATTAAATGTAAATGATCGTCTCGGCTGGTGGGCTTGGTAAGGAGATGTGTTGTCACGCCGGAGATGTGGCAAGGCTCGATTAAAGGTTGATGATGTTGGTACCGAAGACGTAGAATGGACCGAATGCGAAGCTTGTAGGGTGTGTCGTCTAGAATGTCTCGGCGAAGATGGAGTGATATCTATCGGGTCCAGTCCCGCTATCAAATCATCGTTGCTTTCCGATTGTACAAGGGGACTCGTAGGAGGCTTCAATATGAAGCTGGATGAGTATGACGAGGACAAAGAAGGAGCTCGAGATTGTCCCGTATCACAGCTGCCACCTGGTGGAGAGCGCGGATCAAGTGGGAAGTGGGAGAAAAATCGAAGCGGCGAAGATACGACCCAAGGGAATTGTCCAGAGCTGCTCAGTGTTGAAGATGGTTGTAATCTGTCCGGGAGACCAGATCCTTCTGTAAAATCACCACTATGCAACGCCGACCTGGGCCGCTCGATCTGTAGCCCAATTTGATTCCTCTCTTTCTCGAGTGTAGAAGGCCGCTTCGCTTCTGGAATTTCAGGAGAGGGGAGTAACGGTGAGGAATTCGAGGCAACGGGCGAGGGCTTTCGTGAAGTTTCCTCGTATTCGTGGATGAGAGATCCAAGCTACAAGTGACAGTCAGCACATGAATTCAAGGGGGTGAAAAGAGGAAGCAGATCCGTACATTAAGATTTGGCAACCAAGTAGGACTCTGTCCCTGATTCAATCGTTCAATGAGGTCGGCTCTATCGGACGTTCCTTGGGCGGGGAATTTGAAGCCCGGATTCAGGCCGCCTGACGGAAGCTCTCGTTCGTCCGGAATATCTGGCACAGGTCCTTCACATAATTCTGTCCTGATACTCTCTTCCGAGACCTTCCTCTCCATCAAAATTCCACTATCGGGTGATTTCGACCGTCGAATGGTACGTTTGGCAGGAGGAGGGGATCCTCGGCAGGCCCGGAAGTCGTCCTGAAAGATGGGCATTCTGACTGAACACTCTTCACGCCGCTCCTCTTTCCGTCATAGGTACATCGTAGTGGAGTTGGAAGGTTGGAGAGGGAGGAGGGCTGAGGATTGCAACCAGAGGTTGGTCTAGATCTTGTGAAGTGGGGGGCGGCAGAGGCGGACAGTTCTTTGTGCTCATGCTCATGCTCATGCAGCAGAATAAGACATAAATGGCTCCGTGTGTACAATGATGACGGCCAATGCGGGTGAGAGAATGTCGGTGAGAAAAGGGGAGGAGAAGAGATGAGGAGAGAAAGGCTGGAGGGAGATTGGAAGCAGCATGCGAGGAGGATCAAGTTGTCGGTGTACGGAGTACCGGTACTGTACCCCCACCGGGATGTTTCTCCGATCGAGCAACCGAATTTTCCCCGGGTTTAGTCGGGGCTGACAAGGATGGATTTTTGTACTTTGTACCGCCGCCATTTTCTTTCGACCTCCGTATTCCTCTCCAACACAATTGCACTTCTGCGGTATCCCAGCTTCTCAGAAAACTATGGCACCCAAACGACCAGCAGACGATAGCGCAGCAGACCCCAAGCCCAAGAAGCATCGCCCGGGCTTTAAAGTCGGACCGGATAACTTGCCAGACGGAATTCATAGAAGAAAAGGTACGCCTACGCGTCCGAGACAGCACAACCCAATACTAATCTGCCTGCAGTAATCAAGATAAAAAAAGATCTCATCCAGAAAGCCAAGATCAAGAAGTCCTACGCCAAAATCAAAGCGCAGACCGACCTGCCCCCGACCAAAGTTCCCACCGAGCAAGAGCCCATCGAGCCCGCCTCTCAAGAACTGCATCCCGATCGGCAGGCTATGCTTGACGCCCCTGATACCTTGCCCCAAAACTCGAATTCGAATCGCGAGTCTTATTCGCAGCGGCCGCGGCAGGGAAGGGCAAAAAAGCCGGGCTATTTCGAGAAAGAGCAGGAGTTTGCGGCGCGCAAGAGGGCAGAGGGCGAGGAAAGGAGAGCAGAGTACGAGAAGAATCAGCGGGAGAGGAAGGAGAAGATTGAAGAGAGGGAGAGGTTCAGACGGACAATGGCGAAGGCGAGGACTGGCGGGAAGAACGGGCAGAGGAAATTAGGAAAAGAGAGTCAGGTGCTGCTGGAAAAGGTGAAGAGGATGGTTGGGAGCTGAGGTGTACAAGCATATGATACTGGATCGCTGTCATACGTCGGGAAATACCCGGTCGTTACAACGCATGTAGGAAGACATGAAGGGGAGACTGGAGTAACACTGGTAAGTGCTCTCTGGGATGCATCAAATTACCATAGGGCTGACTGGCGATGGGTCAAGCTTTGGGTGTAAAGCCTACTGTCTGAATGACCGGCTGCCAGTCACAGGAAAGGATAACACGAAATGGCACTTTCGGCTTCTTCGTATGCGGTTGGTATTTGATGATACTCGAAGCTGACACAATATACATTTAGCTCAACGATACCGGTTCTGCACATAGCAAGAGTCCTAGCGACAAAGGTGACATAACTGTCGGCAACTCTCGTAGTGATAATACAGCAAAAATGAGCACACTCTCTACGTGTCTTCGCGGAACTCCCACTCACACGCCCAAGAGCTTCGGGGCCGCCTCGAGGATTATCTTCTCAACGCCGAGGTCCTTGATTGAACTGTCAATGCTGGCTTCTTCGGCCGTAGTCTCCTGAATCATCGACTCCATCTCTGCCATCTCGCTACTCAATTTCAACCTCTGTTTGTCGACTTCTGCAAGATCATGACCTGTCTTGGTTCTTTTCGCCTTGGTTGACCCTAATCTTCTCGAAATTTCATCGCTCTTTACTTGAAGATTTGAGAGTTTAGTTTCCTTTTCTTTGATCTTCTCAAGAATACTGTTCTCTGTAAAAACGTGAGGAGCATTGGCCAATGACACTCGTGGAGGCGGAAGCGAAGGATCGCGCTTGCCGGCTTTTCTCCAGAGGTGGCCTGGAAGAGCGGGCTAAGGAGTAGAAGTCAAAAAATAACCTGGATGTGATCAAAACTTTGGGTACTTACCTCTCCATTTGGTCCTAGGATTGGGCTGACGTGGCTGCTGACTCTCGATTGCGTAATGAAGGGGACATCGTCGTCGGAGTCGACATACTTTTCCGAGGAAGACAGATGAATCCTCTTCCGCTTTTTAATTCCCTCGACGGCCGCATCTCTTACTAGCCGCCTTGAATTTCTTCTGTCCTTCATCTCAGCTCCATCCCCATTCTCTCCCACCTTCTTTCTATACGCAGCACGAGTATTTCCGAACCAGTTCTTGCAAATCAGTAGTATTATTGGCACTTTTGGGGCCTACTAACCAATACTTGACGATGTGTTGTGCCTGAATTCGCAGCAATCCGATCCCGATTTCCTCGATCTGGGTTCAAGCTATTCTCTGCCTCTTGCTCCAAGCTTGCTTTCTGCTCATCCGTGAATCTGAAGGGTTTCCACGACTCCGACTTCTTCTGGAACGGGATGTCGTTCGTAGCATTTGGTGTGCTTAAACTTTCTGGTGGTATTGCCGATCTCTCTGCGTTTCCGGCTGCCGACTTCGTCATGTCCAAACCTGAGCCGAATTCCTTAGTACCTGCGATAGTTCTGGCCTAGTAGCTTCTGCAAGAGCCGGCTGACCGAAAGACCGATGTTTGGCGCTCTAGCTCTTCCGAGATGAGAGACCGCCATAGGTCTCTGTTGGTAATCTCCTCTATGCTTTTCTCCTTCGTCTTCGTACAACGAGCCTTCCTAATTTGGATGAGGCAAGCGCGGTGGTCTGGTGTCCAGTACACGCGATTCTCGGCCGAAATTTTCTCATGATTTTGAAGCTCTTCTTCATCCTGTCCGAATCTGAATGGGGATCCCCCTCTTCGACTCGTGACTTTGGCGTCCCATGGGGCTGTCTGGAAATGCTTATTGACTGAGACTGGGACGACTGCGAGGCTTGAGGTTGCGAAGGTTGATTAGAATTGACAGTTGGGAAAGGCTGGGCTACCTGAGTAGGGACTGGCAGTGCAGGTGACGGTAGCGGTGGTGGCGGTGGTAGCGGTGCGGCATTCATCTTGAAGTGACCGCCGATGGTGACGAGGTGAGACTTGAGCGGTAATTTCCACGATAGTATCAACAAGACGAGAGCTTGCTGTGGCTATCGCTATCGCTGTCACTGTCGCTGTCGCTGTCGCTGACTTCAGCCCGGAAGGGTTGAGTTGATATGAAGTTTCAAGGTCGTGGTTGAAGATGAGGCGTATCTCTTTTTCTTTCATTTGCGGCAGGTGCGCTAGTCTTCCTGTGCGTTCACGTGTGTTCACGTGTTCGAGAGATAAGTGGGACTCAGCCGGGTAGATCAGGATGTGGACGAGGCAATAATGCCATCGTCCTCTTGCTTTCATTCGATTCAAGAAAAGACCCGCGCGTTGGCTGGCTCGAGATGCGGAATGTAACACAAAAATGTTGGATCTATCTAAAGTACCTCACCTTCAAATTACAATCCCACCAAGCTACAGCCACTATAGGCTATAGTAGCTAGCTACTTTGCCGAGGACTTCCTCCTCCTCTCCGCCTTGGCCAGATTTGCCGCATAGTCAGCCAGCTCCCTTCGCAGTGTCTTCTTCTCCTCCAAGCTCACACCATCCAGCTTGCCCACCTTGCCGTCACCGTCGGCGTCTGGGAAGTAGTCGTGTATCGACGCCTTCCAATGGCCTGTGGCGTGTGTGGTGGCACGTTTCTTGACGGGCCTGCCTAGCCGGAGACGCTCCTCGCCGTCCAGGTCGTGGTCATCGTCCTCGCGCGCCCGCTTGAGGGGCGACACCTATCTGTGGTCAGCCGTGATCGTCGAGCAGCCAGACTCAGATTCCTACCTCAATACCAGCTCGGGCCTTGGCCAAGTTCTCAGCCTGCAACATCAGAGTCTTCTTCTCTTTGGGGCTTATCGGCTCTGGTAGAGCTCCACCGGTACTGTCCGAGGTTGCTACCCGCTAAAGTCAGTATAGAAGAGATACACATATAAGGAGCTTCACGGACCTTTTAATCTCCGATCTCTCTTATGCTGGTCCGCTGATTCGATCCTGGCAATCTTCTGGATCAACTCACTCCTTTGACCACGGATCCGGGCCTTTTCTTCCCAGTTGACTTCCCCCAGCTCCCGCATAAGCAACCCCTCGAGTTCCTTTCTGAGCCCTACCAATGCCGAGTCCTCTCTACTAGACCTCGTCCTGGAATGTAACCTCTGGCTCTCGTCATGATCTGCCACCAGCTTCCTGAGACGCTGTTGATCTTGTTGCTCCCTCGTCTGCGGCCGCATGAATTCACTTCCCGCTCTCCCCAGGACTCCAGGACTACCAAAGGGATTGTTGGCGCTGTCATGGAAGAGCGGCGTCTCACTGTCGCTGCCATTTGTATCATCTTCTTCGAAGAGAGCATCTATTGAGTTCGTATAGGAAGAAGCTCGTGTCGACTGAGATGGGTTTGAGTGAATTGGAGTCATGGGAGCTGGTGTTGAAGGTGCAGATGAAACTCGGGAAGCAGCAAGGCGAGCTCGATGTGGGGGTTCGACCTGTATTCTGCTCCGCTTGATCTCCTGGCGGAGTTGAACTCGAAGGCTCTTTTTGTTAGGCATGGTTTGTGCTGGCTTGCTTTTGGTTTTAAGAATAAAGTTGATGGTGTTGTGCTATTGTTCAGATCGGGACAAGGAAATAAAGTAGAGATAGCTGGCGGCGGCCGTTGGTAGGGTCGCATTCTTTCTCAGAAAAGTAAATTGAATAGAGTCTCTCCGTAGTTTTCTGAAATACTGATTAGAGAGTGGCTTAAGGGTGAAGATGAACGACCTGTTTAGTCCTAGTGTATAGCGTTGAAAACTCACCCCCCCGGAAAGACATCACAGCATATAAATAGATGACAACAGTAAGTTCTAACGACAATAATCTTTACCACTAGAGAGATACATTATCATTACAAGCTGCGAGCTTCTGGCAAGCAACTGGACAAGACTATGTTTTTTCCAAGACTAGGATGCCGGCTTTGTTTTCATTCAGATTATAGTTTCGGCTAATTTGTGAAGCCGCGCCTTAAAAAAAAAGGGGGGGGGGGGGCTTGCTTGCTTGACTCTCTAGCAGAGTCGCGCACCTCCCAGCTACAGGTTCCTAGGAAGCGGTTGCAACCAGCTCATGATACAAAAAGGAGCCAGTCAGCCAGCAGAACGAGAATAGTAAATGGGTATCTCTCTGTCGCCATTCGACGCCCACTGTGGCCCCTCAGTATGTGTCTATCACTCTTTTCCACGTGCCCCAGGAGGGGTCTTGTAGAATACGGGAAGCAAGTATACAGAGAGGCGGGGGTAGTAAGTGAGCACGCAAGCACGCACGCAAGCAAGCAAGTAGCATGAGCCGTAACTCATTCATTCATTCAGTCATTCATTCATTCCTTCATCTCAGCTTTGGAAACCCGAGAGGAAGACGAACGGACGGACGGACGGACGGACGGCTTCTCGCTGGTCGACTGGCTACCACCACCTAACACAAATCAACTAACTTACTTTGTAAGTGTAAATATATATAATATATATCTATAGAAACCCCTACTACCCGCAGCTCGCTGGTAGTTCCTCCATCTCATCTCATCTCATCTCATCGACTTTGCCTTTAACTGTAGACTAGACCACAACATCCAGAGAGCAGAGAGCAGAGTGCGAGAGGGAGAGGGAGAGGGAGAGTACGGAGACAATGGAGGAGTAGAAGGAAGAGGGAAGAAGAAGAAGACGACGACGAAGAAGCAAACACTCTTCGCAGAAGCCATGGCCAAAACG